GACGGTTACCTGTTCAGCTCCTGACAGAAAGGAGGGAAAGAAAAGCCCACCGGCTCTTTGCCGCCAGCGTCGTGATGTCATCGCTCTCCGTTTACGCATGCGCAGATGAACACACACAAAATCAGGCCTGTTGACTTCACTGTATTAAATCACTTTAACCTGCTGATTTTCACTCAGACTCACAGTTTAAACCAAAGAGCTCTTATCATTTTAGTCAGATGAGCAAAATTCAGATAATTAAACTTAATGTCCCACATTTTTTGAGTGCAGGTGGTCCAACTGGGTCCGTCAGCACAAAAAAAGATAACTTATTAAAATAATCTTGACCACAGTCAGGATGTATCACATTTCTATATTTATATTTCACAGGTTACACACATCTTACACACCTGTTACATAATAACCAGAGGTAACTGTAAAAATAGTTACTAATTCACTTCATTTCTTCTTCTCTGAGTTTGTCAAATTTTTGTTCTTTTAAAGAATTCTAATTTAAATTAAAATGCAAATTAATTTAATTACCATAATTTGCAGTCAGAGCATGTAGGCCTAGAACAGGTAACAGGTTTTTTACAACACATATTATTCAAGGCCTGCCGTTGTTGTTGGAGTTCTTCTTCTTTTTATCTTCTCCCTCTTTTTCTTATTATGCTGGTATGTCAACCTAAAGAAAGGAGTTATCTAAAGCCTTATTTAAACTGGATTTGTTTTACCAGAGGTAGTTATGTAATTTTGTGCAGCGGGGTATTTCATAAAGCAGGATTTCTCAGTTTAGCCAGAAAACATCAGCCTGTTCAACAGGAAGAGAACTGAGGGACATTCCTATGGGACGATCATCATCTCTGAGCTTGAGTTATCTGGCTAACTGAGAAATCCTGCTTTGTTCAAGTTCAAGTTCAAAAGGCTTTATTGTCATTTCAGCTGTATACAAGTACACAGTGACACAAAACAACATTCCTCCAGGACCAACACAGGAACACAATACAATAAACACAGTGCAAACAATACAGTACAGTAAATAAATACAAAACATTTACAACAAATACAAAACAGGACACAGGCAGTACACGGTACTGAGAGTATGTGGAGCTGTGCAAAGGAGGATGTGACATACTATGACATATTAGCAGAGAGCCTAGCATATATGAGCATAGCAGTCGCTGAGGTAGAAGCCAGAGCAGCAATATACAGTATACAGTATTTGGCCGATACAGTAATTCTAGCATCTAACATTGTTAAAGTGAAGTAAAATGTGCAAAATTCAAGTATTCTGATCTGCAGACATATCATATATTTCATATATCAAGTATTTCGGTGAAATGCAGCAATTATATTTAAATACGGGGCCATAGACATAATCTGGAACTGCAAGAAGTGAAGAGTGAGCTGGTCTCATATTGTTATGTATATGTGTGTGTGTGTGTGTGTCCACTTCGGTGTCCTTCAATTCAGCCATGGGAGTTGAGGAATCTGATGGCTTGTGGAAAGAAACCCAGTCTGGCTGTGAGGGCCCGAAAGCTGCAGTACCTTCAACCAGATGGCAGAAGAGAGAACAGTGTGAGGGGTGTGTGGGGTCGTCTGTAATGCTGGTGGCTTTTCAGATGCAGTGTGTGGTGTAAATATCCGTGATGGAGGGGAGAGAGACCCCAGTGATCTTTTCAGCTGTCCTAACTATTCGCTGAGGGGTCTTCCGGTCAGAGGCGGTGCAATTGCCAAACCAGGCAGTAATGCAGCTGCTCAGGATGCTCTCTATAGTGCCTCTATAGAAAGCTTTCCAACGTTTTCCTATAGTTGCTGAGGGCCTGAAAGCCCTGCCTCATGCACCGCGTGTCACCGGTGTTCTGGAAGTGTCCATGGATTCTCTGAGCGTGTGCGCTTCGCCTCTCTGATGGCTCATGACAGTTTGGCTGTCTCTGTTCTTAGGGCCGCTCTGTCACCCGCTCTAAAGGCTGAGTGGGGGCTTTCAGCTGCGTGCGCACCTCTGCAGCCCCCTGGCCTCCCTCATCAGGAAACTCAGAGGACTCCCGGCTGTGAGCTCATTTCTCTTAGTAAACCTAGTTTATATACCTTCTTCAAATTAAGCTAAAAAAAGTAGACACAAAAGAAAATAATTATTCTACACAAAACATGTAAAGACTTAAGGTTAGGTTCTGTATGTTTGCCCAAACTGTAGTAGCCCATTCTGAGGCTTTGCCTGTAAAGTGAGAAACCAAAAATGAAATCTGAGCAAGATCAGAACCAGGTTGTGAAATACCAAAACACAGTGAGCACTGCAGTAAAAATCCCTTCCATTCGTCCATTAAACCGCCATATTTCTCCTGCTTACTAACGCTGTAGGGAGTAACTTGGACAGCAGGTGACGGATTAACAGGGGCAGTAACTACCGGTGGGGTCTGAGGTGGAGCAGCTTGTAACAGATCTTTAAGGCGATCAGCTACCGCCACGATTTGAGTTTTCTGTCGGTTCTGTTGTTGATTAAGAAGAGCTACAGACTGAGAAAGTTCCTCAAGTAAACCAAGATGTTGTCCCAGCATTTGACCGTGTTTACTTACTGCTGAAGCTGCAACGTCGGAATCAGCCGTCGGCATGGTGGCGATATTCTGTCAGGGGGTCAAAACAGATCAGACACATGCAGATTAAAAGACAAGGTTCCAGTTTACTTGAGGGCTTTGGAGTTTCACAAAGAGCGTAGTTATAACAGGCCAGGGTCAAAACCAGAGAGCACGATAACCAAAAGCAAAGAGATTAATAACATTCAGCCATCAAACCCAAAGGGCAAACAAGAAAAGACAAGTCAAAAACACAAAATTAGCTCATAAAAAGAGCAGCTTACAGACAGAGAACACTCAGTACACAACAAGGAAACATTGGCAACACTTCTCAATGTGCTAAACTAAAGGCCGGCCTTACATTACTAACTAATGACAGGTAAAGAAAAACAGGTGTAGATTCAGAACTCTGGTGAGGCGCTGAAATAAATGCCTGTTGGTTGATGGTGATGATAAGGAAGTCATGTGATCTCCCACTGAATCATGGGAGCTGGACTTTTCCATACATTGACTCAAGTGAGCCGGCAGGGGACAGAGGACGAATAGAGAAGACATCCTCAGTTGGAGGTGTGAGAATAACTGCCTAAAGACAATAAGATAAACTGATTGCTCAATCAAAAACCAAATAATTCCTCAACTAAAATACATAAATTTATATTTACATGTTCTTAAACAGACTATTTTATGATCTTATCTCAGCAGATTTTGCTATTCTAAAAGAGCAAAATGCTGCTCTGACAGATCATAAAGGAAGACCACCTCCCTGGCCCCCTTCACACTGAAAAAATGCCATTCGCTTCAGTGACAGTTTTTTTTTCTTACTGAGAATACAACAAATACACTAATAAGCCACAACATTACGGTCACTCACAGATGAAGTGAATAATCGTAATAATCGGGGTGGAAGCATGAAAAAGAGAGACGAGATGCGACTGGACAAGCTGGTCAGGCAAGCGGGGTCAGTGGTCGGTGTGGAACTGGACTCTGTGGTCAAGGTGGCAGAGAGAAGCACAAACTGCTCTCCATTATGGAGGATGATGTCCACCCACTGCACACCATCATTATGGACAGGAGGAGCATGTTTAGTGGCAGGTTGCTGTCACAGAGCTGCTCAACTGACCGATTCAGGAGATCCTTTGTCCCGCGAGCCATCAGGCTCTTCAACTCTTCCCAGGGGGGCCAAAAGAGAAGAGAGAAGAGGGAAGAGGAGAGGTGAGGAGTGAATCTGAACCTCATGTTAAATCACAGGTTTATCTCATGCTAAATCATAGGTTTAGGTTTATTTTATCCACCTGCATATGTGGACACCTTACTGTACATATTGCTTTCTGTACCCCCTTATCACACATCTTGCACACCTGGACACTCCACACCTGGACACTTTATTTCAGTACCAATATCTGCACATATTTATTCAGTATTGTCATTTTATGCCATTACCTGTGCCTTCTTGTACAGTCTATCTATCTATCTATCTATCTATCTGTCTGTCTATCTATCTATCTATCTATCTATTTATCCATCTGTTTAGAGTCTAAATGACTTTGCTGACCTCATGTGGCCAAACTCAGTATTACAGCAGCGCTGTTCCTCACCGCGTTTCAGGTTGATCTCAGAGCAGATTTACAGTTTTACAGTTTATTCTAGTGTAGGATGTAGATATGGGTGCGGAGAACTGGTCCCAGTTCATTTAACACAGTTTAACCATCCAAAATAAACCAACATTTAAACTGCAGCTCTAGGTTTAATAATAGTTTTATAATAAACTCGGCCCACTGTTAGCGACATCTGGTGGACAGTAGTGGTGTTGCGTTTTACATCACAGTAAAAATGAAATCAGAATCTTAATCACTTTATTTCACCAAAAATATTACACATACAAGGAACAGACCAGACAAACACACAGACTATTAATAAATATTTAACCAAAGCACAAATAAAATAAAAGTAGAATAAATGGAATAAAGATTATGAAAGCAGATAATAAAGACCCTTTGTGAAAAGAACTAAAGAGCTGAATGTGTGAATATGTACATATATGCAGGTCTGAAAGGAAAAAGCTCTTAGCATATCCGGCTGTGCTGGCTTTGATGGCCCTGAATCTCAGAATTATTCAACCCCCTGAACAGAATCCCCCCATAACAGCACACACTGGCAAATCAGGTGTTGTCTCAAGCCAAGTCAATCAAGGGCTTCATTAGTTGCATCAGGTGTGCTTGAGATAAAACACATCAAATACCTGGACTGGCTAAGGGGTTTTTGTTGACTGTAAAGTTTGACATGTTAGAAATATGGGAGAGAGAGTTGTCCAAAAAGTTAAGAGAAGAGATCAGAGCCTCATACAAACATGGAAAAGGATACAAAAAGGCACTGAATGATTCTAGAGATGCAGTCGGAAGCATAGTTTGCAAGTTCAAAGTTAAAGGAACACCGGTTACACTATCTGGATGTGGCAGAAAGAGGAAGCTATAACTGGCTGTCACCAGATTTCTGAGGAGGCAGGTGGTCAAAAACCTGAGTGACTGCAAAAGACCTGCAGAAAGATCTGGTGGCAGCACTGAGGTTTCAGTTTTCACAGTAAGGCACATACTACACACTGAAGGTCTCCATGCCCGAAGATGTGCACCTCCTCTGACCCGAAAGCACAAGAAAAGTCACCTTCAATATGCTGAAGAACATCACCATCAACCGTTAACCGATCACCATCTGGTGGTAAGCTGGATGGCAGAGCAGACTGGTGGTCAGACCAGGTAGACCCAAGTGAAAAGTGAGGGTGTGCTGGGAACGACTGGCAGAGGCCCCTGTTTGAAAAGATTTTAACTCCCACCTCTGGGAGAACTTCCCTGTGTTCACATGAGATTATGTTCAGGCTCAAATTGAATTATTTATGGTAATAAATTTATTCTGATGAATCTTATTTTGTCTGCTCATTTATGCTGTTTTAAAAAGGAAAAAGTCTTTCTGTGGTATCAAATTAGAGCAAACAGGACAAACACACAAACTAATATGATCAATCACAATGAACTAGTTGAATCAATTGACAGCCCTAGTCAAACTAGGTTCTCAGCATTTGTCATTTTACTCGCTGTACAACAATCAGATTTCAGTCTAAGTGGAAACACATTTGATTACCAAGTGTAAATGCATGTGGTTAAAATCTTATCAGGTGACAATCCAGGTCACATGAATCCAGGTCCAATCCAGGTCCACAATCCAAAAGTCACATGAAATGACCAGGTGTAAATGGGGTCTATGATTGAGTCTTGCTTGCAAAATAAAGGAGAAATAGACAGTACTGTTCCTCATTTACATTTCTCTTTTTATTGATTATCCATGATCCAAAGTACAAACATGTTTTCATCCACCCAATACAGCCCGCTTGTCTAATCTCCCATCAAATCCAGTTAGGCTGCTTCATTCATTGGTTAAATTTAGACCTACAGACCAACACTGACCCTCCATTATTGAATTTATAATTCCATCACTGTTCTTTGATTGCTTTGTGTTCCACTGTAATCCACTGATGTCTTCACTGGCTGTATGGGATGTTTATGACTTGCTTACCTATCATACATCTATGCTGGCTAAGGACTGCATAGTGGCCACAGCCCTGACCTTATGTCCAGTAGGTCTGGGTGGTAATGTGTCCCTTCATCCACCATTAATATTGGTATTGCATCTTCTTGCTTTAATTTCTGAGGAACACCTTTGACTGAACAGAGGTTATGTGGGGCAGCTGTCTTGTGCGAACATCCACAAGTTAAAATGAAGTTTACCAGAATCCTAAGTGAAAACACTGCTGTGTCTGTTTCCCATTAAAAACTCAAGGACACTCCTGCCTCTGCAGTTCTTCAACAATGAGAGGCTCGTTCTTCTGAAGACTCTCATAAAATTTCACCTTTAATTCCTGCCCTCCTGCCAGGAAAGAGTAGAGAGTTCTCATCTGCTCCTGTGGTGTTGTACATCCTCTTATGATGGAATACTTCTCATCTCCAATGAGGAGCTTTAGGTCATCTGCAATGGGGCTCACTAATCTGACCCTCTGGATGAGCTCCTTCATGTACTCGTCCACAAAGCAAACAGCTGAAAAGAGAAAGATTGAAATAATTAGACAGATATATGTACAACCCCAACTCCAAAAAAGTAGGGACGCTGTGTAAAATGTAAATAAATGTAAATACTGAATGCAATGATTTGCAGATCTCATAGACCCATATTTTTTTCACAGTAGAACACAGAACATATATCAGATACCATTTCATGAAAAATATTAACTCATTTAGAGCTTGATGGCAGCAACGCATCTCAAAAAAGTTGGGACAGGGCAACAAAAGGCTGGAAAAGTAAGCGGTACTAATAAAAACAGCTGGAGGAGCAATTTGCAACTAACTCACATGACTGGGTATAAAAAGAGCATTTTAGAGAGGCAGAGTCAGAGAAGCAAAGATGGGCAGAGGTTCACCAATCTGCACAAAACCACGTCTAAAAATTGTAAAACACTTCCAGAAAAATATTTCTCAACGTAAAATTGCAAAGACTTTGAATATCCCACCATCTACAATACCTAATATCAAAAGATTCAGAGAATCTGGAGGAATACTTGTACGCAAGGGACAAGGACGGTGGTCGATACTGGATGCTTGTGATCTTCGGGTCCTCAGGCAACACTGAAATGGGCTCAGGAACACGTCCAGAAATCACTATCTGTGAACTTCGCTGTGCAATCCACAAATGCAAGTTAAAGCTGTATCATGCAAAGAAGAAGCCATATGTCAACACAATCCAGAAACGCTGCCGTCTTCTCTGGGTCAAAGCTCATTTAAAATAGACTGAGGCAAAATGGAAAACTGTTCCGTGGCCAGATGAATCAAAATCTAAAATTCTTTTTGGAAACCACGAATGCCATGTCCTGTGGACTCAAAAGGAGAGGAACCATCCAGATTGTTATTAGCGCACAGTTTAAAAGCCTGCATCTCTGATGGTATGGGGATGCATTAGTGCCCATTGCGTGGGCAGCTTACACATCTGGAAAGGCGCTATCAATGCCGAACAGTATATAGAGGTTTTAGAACAACATATGCTCCCATCCAGACAACGTCTATATCAGGGGAGGCCTTGCATATTGTAGCAAGACAGTGATAAATTATATACTGCATTCATCACAACAGCATGGCTTCGCAGAAGAAGTGTCCAGGTGCTGAACTGGCCTGCCTGTAGTCCAGACCTTTCACCCATAGAAAACATTTGGTGCATCATGAAATGAAAAATCCAGCAAAGAAGACCCAGAACTGTTGAACAGCTAGAATCCTACATCAGACAAGAATGGGACAACATTCCTCTCCCAAAACTCCAGCAATTGGTCTCCTCACTTCCCAGACATTTACAGACTGTTGTTAAAAGAAGAGGGGATGCTACACAATGGTAGACATGGCCCTGTACCAACTTTTTTGAGATGCGTTGCTGCCATCAAGTTTTAAATGAGTTAATATTTTTCATGAAATGGTAAAATGTCTCACTTTCAACATCTGATATGCGTTCTATGTTCTATTGTGAATAAAATATGGGTCTATGAGATTTTCAAATCATGCAGTACTTCAGATTTTATGATATTTCAAAAACAGGTACATAACCAAAACAATGGGCCTGCCACTTTCTTTCTAAACATACTGTGCGAGCTGGAACAATCTTTATGTCCATCTGCAAACACAAACATATACAGTATTACAGAGAGTCCACCAATGTGATAGATGGGAACATGGTCAAAAAATGATAATTTAAAATTTTTTTTGTGTCTGCTCCACATTACCAAGGCACTCTACTGTGAACTATTTCAAGGCCTTTTGACTTCACTTACACAGAGATCCAGACATCACACTGAAATCATCTAACATGACAGAAACAAAAAACAAAATGTTAAACACCATATTTTGCAGAATGAGCAAATGGATATAATAGGACAATATTACTATAAGATTATGTTCTAACATGTTCTAAAGTCCACCCTTGTGGAGTGTCCAAGCCCGTATTAAGGCAGCAAGTGTGTGGATATATATCATGTTAAAGTCCCAGTGAACAGTGTAAAACATTGAAAATGTTTGTGAAACAAACACACTAGAGATGTAATAAAACACAGCCTAAAAACGGCCCGTCAGACCTATCTGAGAACTGCCCGGGCGTGGCCGTAATACTCTAATGAACATGCTTGATTGACATTCTTTGTCCAACACTCCCAGCCTGCTACGCCACTGAAGCAGAACCAAACACAACTGTGTGACCAATGCAGGGAGAAACGAGTGAAACAGGCTCTATGTATACAGGTCGCACTTTAGGCTATCCCTGCTCAGGCTTGGAAGTTATTTAGTAGGCCAGTGCCCCTCCACCAATCATCATGCCCTACTTAACCCACTATTTTGTACATACGGCTATAGTGGCAAAAAACACAGTGAAACTAAACTTTGAACGATTTGTGACTCCTTTGGACTAGATTTTTCAACTTGTATCACCGAGCTAGTTGACAGCTTAGATTAGCTGCAACTGAGCTAGTTGATAGCTAAATTATGCTTGCTAGGTTAGCTTTTGTTTGGTGTTTTTTTTTTAAGGCAATGTGGACGGGACAAGCGACATCAGCCTTGAGATTGGGGGGGATACTGTTTACATGTGACCCAAGATCAGTACTGACCAGTTGATATCAAAAAGGGGAATTTTTGCAAAACATATCAGCCATTTAGTGGATATTGGAAAGTTATTCACAGAACATACCTTGAACATGTATATGTGTCAGCGTAGAAGAAGGCCCAAAACATTGCGTATACAGGTTCAAATGCTCAAATGCTCTTTGGATGAATAGGTACTTCAAAAGGCAGCAAGACATGCCCAGCATAGTGCCACTCTAACAGGATACGACATATGTGGAGGGTGGACAATATCTCAGACAAGCCTCCCTCCACAGACACAATTTAGCAATCAAAACGCAAAACACTGACACACACAACAACATTGTTAGCAACAGCAGCAACAGTACCTTTTTACGCTGGGAGTGTGGTGCCTCCCGAGAGCCACTTTGCATGGTCACATGGCCTAAGCTCCTCACGGCCACACTGAGGTGGACGCCACAATATTGTGCACACAAAAAAGCCAGATTAATTTAGAAAGAAAACCTGGATTTCGGTTCTCTGGGATTTCAACTTTCTTCTTGATATTTATAGAACAATGTCACCAACATGTTTATTAAATATGGTCCACACACTTGCAGAAAGCACACAGACGCACACAAAAACCACAAGTGTGAACTTCGGGACTAGCTGTAAGATTCTGCCACATACTTCCTCGTATTGGTACCTCCCAAACTACTTCATTGTCTTTTTCAGTCGTCAGCTGCAAGTAGAAGTCTTCTTCAGGATTGCTGATGTACACCTCAAAGAAGTTTGTAGTAGCAGTGTTGTATCTCAGTTTTAAGCTCTAATGAAAGAATGACAGAAAAATAAAATGAAACGTAATCAAAAATAATCAAATAACAGAAAGTAAAAAATTGGGAGAGTTACCGTGGGAGTGATTTCAGAATCATAGTGGGATTGTTTTGTCTTCTGTAAAGTTTTCAGCTTGTACCAGCTCTTCATTTGGAGTGAGGACTTTGGATTGGGCTTTAATATTTTCACACATTTATCACTCCTTTCCTTTTCCACAGCCTGCAAAAATTCACATTTGTATTCCTGCATCATTTTTTTTTCCAAAACAGTGCTAGCCTAATAATACTTTTATGTTAGTAAATTCCCACAAGTGTACTTTTTATGTCACTGCATGAAAACCTTCATCCTTAAATGTAATTTTTCACATTTCTTTTTTTTCCAATTTTTGTTGCAGTAATACAGTGTACATGTGTAGTTCTTACAGTTCTATCAAACATATGATTAAACAACATGAAATGGAAAACTATATATAAACCTCTCCTAAAAGCTTATAGATTTCCTGCAGTAGTAATTTCATTTGGAAATACAGTGTCTATTTACTGATTTATTTCATTTCTTTGTATTTTGCTTTAGACAAATATCTCAATGTTATAAATCCATGAAGGATTAAAATCACATCTGTAATTTTTATATGTTAATGAGTCTTTATTCAGGAATACGTTTGAAATGTAGGTTTGGCTTTTGAAATGATTTTTTTTGTTGTGAAGTTACTTTGAAAAAATTACATGCATGAGTTAATTTACAGGTACTACATAACTAAAATATGCAAAATGTACTACATAACTAAAATATGCAAAAATAATTGTGAAATTTGACAAAGATTTGATTCTATGGCATGAAACACTCTCCAACAAATTAAGCTGTTTTGCAAACTTAACAAGAAATCAGTCGATTTAAAATAAAGTTACTCCTACTGTTGTACACACTTAAAAATAATGGTTCTTCAAGGGTTCTTTAGTAAAGAAAATGGGTTCTATTGTAACAAGCTTGACATCGTAACAATAGAAGAACTCTTTTTGGTGCTATATAGAACTCTTTTCAAAAAAGGTTCTATATAGCACCATTTACAGCACATTCTCCATCAATCTGAAGAGCCATTTCAACAGGCAAAGAAGCATTTAAGTATACAAAGGGTTCTCTGAGTGTTAATGGTTCTATATAGAACCTCACAACTGGCTTTTATCATCATACAGCTTACCTCTTTCATTTTTATATCATGTGGAATTATGTATATGTGAAGAGTCAGAGGCGCAGCCAAAACGTGATAGATCAAGATCTCGCAGTGAGCCTTTACTCGGAATCCATTTTTAACAAGAACACCTTTTGGGGAGAACGTGGGCTGGAGCAGTTTTGCATGGAAGCGGCTCAGACTGCAAGTCTCAAAAGAAGCACCAACATCCGCATCATGGAAAACCCTCACTGCATCCCTCAGTGATGATTCTGAACCTGTAAAGACCCACAAAGGTCTACAAATTCATTCTCTGTGTAGAACACAGACTCTTTATTACATATTCTGACATCTTTGAGTTTGTTATTTTGTACCTAAACAGAGAAAGTGTGGTAGATGGACAGCATTCAGCGTCCCTCTGATAACAGTAATGTCCAGCAATGGGCCACCAGGATGATACTGTTCTCTCTCCAGAACTTCACTCACTAGTTCCCAGTTACTCCAGCAGTATTCCAGTTCAACTTCACTGGAGCTCTCCCACCGGAGACCAGTGACCGTGCACTCATAACTCCCTGGTGCAGCAGTGAACCTGGTGAACCCAGAAAAGTGCATAGATGAAATGTGTAAGACTGCATCACTACCATCTGTATCTTCTGTTGAACTGTATTAAATGTATGCTCAACAACAAGCACTTGTTGCCTTAACTGAGAAGCTGAATTCATAGTTTGTATTTTATTGATTTTGAAATAGTAATCAGATCATGAAATATGCACTTAAAATTCAGTCCTAAACAAATGGGTACACATCCAGCCGGTGGTGCAGATTCAGTGAGGGTAAAGGGGACATGTTCACTGAACTTGAATCTCTATACTGTCTAATATTATTTGTTGTTTGTGTTTTAATATTGATATATAAGGCATGACATATCAGTATGAAAACGGTAACTGTTTGCATACATTGTTCACACAGTTTAACCCCTTAAAATCCCAGTCTTATTACATACTAAGGCTTATTATTCAGTAACTACAGGGACTTCAATGCAAACTGGTTGAGCTATTCTTAGGTTATAGAAATGAGTAATAAAACTTTGGCCATGCAAGGTTAAGGTCTGAACTGCTGTATGCAATAGTCTTCAGATGTTTGTCCCCCTACTGTCAGACCAAATTTGAGCCCCTGCATCAAGCCCCTTTGTCAGCTTCATAAATATTACAAGGACCCCGCTACTGGAGCAATTTTACAGTCAAAGGCAAAATTACTGCCCCCTTTGATGAAAATGGATAAAAATATCTTTGTGATTATCGACCCTGAAATAGCAAACACTCATATTGTGTGATGAGATGTTTTTGCTGTGCATTTCTTCTTGTGGGGTAGTAAAGGGTTCAAGTAGTTTAAGAATGATAGCCTATTTTTAGATGCTTAAATCTTACTTTAAATCAAGCGTTTCAGTTAAAATTAACTTAATAGTAGAAACAAAAACAGATCATATCAGCCCATACTCAACATTTCAGTATTGGTGGAACCTGTACTGACCTTCATAAAATCAGACAAAATCTATTTTATTTATTTATTTTATAAAAAACTCAACGTGGCACCGATTCCACAAGTGGACGGAAGACGTCTGGAGGGATGTTGAGTCATGCCATGAGGATAGCCACCCACAGCACTGTAGTATTTGTAGGTGCAGGATCTCTGGTGTGAATGGATCTCTCCACCACATCCCACAAATGCTCGATTGGGGTGAATGTGCAGGACACATAATTCGTAGAATCTATCCAGAATTCTGGACAACTTGTGCCCAAAGGCACAGTGCATTATCCTGCTGGAATATCCCATCATTGTGGAGGTACATGAAGTCCATGTAGGGCTGTTTAAGTGTACCAGTGGTCCCAACCCACGCCATGAGAACACACCCCACACCAGTATGGAACCACCACCAGCCTGCACAGTGTCTTGTTGACAACCAGGGTCCATGGCTTCATGGGGTCTGTGCCACACACAAACCCCACCATCAGCCCGAAACTATTGGTACCATCACTAATTGGACCACGCCACACGTTTCCAGTCCTCTAGGGTCCAGTTGGCAACCTCACGAGCCCAGGTGAGGCCACGTGTCCGGAGTCATGGTGTTGACAGAGGTCTGTTGGGTCTTCTGCTCCCGTATCCCATGGAAGCTAAAGAACGCTGCACTGACCTGTGGGATGTGCATGTGGGGCCTCCTGTATTGAATGTGGATGTGATTTCTTGTTCCCAAGCCACCCTCTGAGGTAACACCATCCCATGACTTTTGGCATGTCAGTGTATTTTATATATATATGCAAAATACACAACATAATGCATTAGAACGTAATGCGCCAAACTTTTAACATTTATAAATAAATGGATGTATAAATGAGACTTTTTTTTCTTAAAGTAAGTTTTTTTATCAGCTTTAGTTGCCTAATCCACTCTGTAGAACATGTTTAAGACCACCCTAACATGATAAATGGAAAAGTGAACTACTAGCTTGATATTTAGTTAAAATAATGTACAAAAAGACAGAACAGTACCTGTACTTTACATTTCCATTTACTGATAAAGCCACAGCATCAGGTACAACGAGCTCCCATTCTGTGTCCTGGGTAGCATAAAAGAGAACTTATTAAAAATGTTTTATTGTTGATTAATTTTTTATGTCACAAATAAAATGTTTGTCTATCAAAAGGATAAAATGCTGAAATTAATGCTATAATTAGGTACAGTGATTTTTAAAACTGCACTTAATGTTACCAGTGTCACAGTTAATTAGAATGAATGGACTTTTTGGAATTTTTAATCCAGAGGATAAAGGAGAGGTGAAGATTTGAACAACAGTCAGAGCTTACCTTCACATCGGAGCAGGATGTACAAGTACTTTGTGTCCCTAAGATAATTCAAATAAATAAATAAATACAAATAAACAAAACTGAAGCCAAATCAAATAAATATTCCCTGTTAAAATCAGTAAAAAGGGTTATGAGAAATTCACCTTTTGATGAATCAGCTTAATCACACTGAAAAAATTAGAAAAACCCAACCTTTAATTGAAGTAAATTTATTGAGAATAAAAAAATCCCTCACCAAGAATTAAATATTTTTATTAAAACCATATGCACCACAACTATTGGCACCCCTGCATTAAATACTTTGTACAACCTCCCAATAAAACAGCACTTAATCTTCTATAACATCTTATAAGGTTGGAGTATACAGAGCAGGGAAATATGGGAAAAATGCTTCAGTTACATTTTGTTTATAAGAATTTCTAGGGGCAGAAACTGTGGCACATATAGATTTGTTAAAAATAAATATTTCTTGATGTTTTTTTTCCTCATAATAAAAATATTTCAATTAAATTTAGTTTTTTCTCATTTTTTCATTGTGAGATGAAACTAATGTGACAAAACGTTAATTTCCTCATAACCTTTACCAGGGGTGCCAATAATTGTGAAGGGAACTGCATCCGACGAAGTACTGTATATAGTTTCCACCAATCACTTTCACTTCTTTTGCAATCATGTATTTTCTTTTTTCTGTGAATATTACTGTTTTGTTAATATTACATAGAGCATAGCTTTATGCACATATAATATTTGGATTTTATCATTCTAGTTTTAACAGTGCCTTTATTTTATCTTTGTTTACAGCACAATGAACCTTATAAAAGATGGAAAAACAGATGGACTACAGTCTGTAACTGTAGAACTACAAAGTGCTCCTATATGGTCAGTGGAGCTGATAAAATGGTCAATAAATGTAGACACAAGGTAGGTGCACCTAATAAAGTGATCGGTGAGCGTATTGTCAGTGTTGGAGCAAAACCTTCATCAAAAATGGTAACTTTTGGTAACTTTCTTGGAGAAGGAAGAAACATTCTCAACATTCTTAGTTTGTACATCATGAAATTTTAACACAATGTAAAGTTCAGCTGCAGTTTTCAAATTATGCAAAAATGGAGAAAATTTTTTAATAGAAAATGAATAAATGAAAAATAAATTAAAAAAATGATCTTGATTTTACCTCTTTAGTCATTAAATGCTTTCACACTTAAGCACAATTTGCCTGTACTTTTGACTTCTTTTTAATCATTTGGTTTATCATTCGTTCTCCTTTTTAGTCTTCTTTAAAATTGTATCGTGCCAAAGCGTTAATTCAACAGCCAATACACTGTTGAGGAAAATCCTAAGTTTAACCCTCTTGGGGTTAAATGCTAGCACTGTTAGTGATGTTCTTCTTCGCTTATGGTATTGAAGAAGGCACAGGTATAATTGTGCACTGGTGATCCTGTTTAACTGACACTGTCTGAAGTTCAATGTTGCACTATTAACCCAAAGATAGATTCATTCTGTTTTGTCTTAAATGCAGGTTATGTGGATCTTTAATCTGCAATACAAAGTAGTCCACTTACATTCATGAGGCTGCCCAGCATCTACAGGGAATGGATGACTTTTATTCCCACCATCCCACTAAGATTCAGTCAAATTATTGTTCCTAGCATATTTATGAGTGATTTACTGTCCATAGAGTAAAGTGACATGTAAAGCAACAAATGTCATTAAAAAGGAGTCTGAAGTATATGTGAAATATGCCTCAATGTCAAAGCACTTAATGAACAAAGAAGTAAAGTGAGGTCATTTTTATTTTGGCTGATTTTATGTATGTTAATGTGTTCGATTAACCATTTCCAAATCTTTCTTCGTGGAAGCTGAGTATTACTTGCAGTCATCATCATCATTCAGTACCTGGTTTGGCTGATCAGTACTTCACTATCAGGTGTGCTGCTGACTGAGTTTAACCAATCCATGCGATGACTGGGAGCAACTACTACTAAACTACTTTTCTGAATATTTTTGGTTACTTTTATTGGCATGTTTTCCAGAGATATATGGTGTTTTTACAGGCAAACCCACTTCTTATCAAGGTAAATTGTGTTCAGGTACTGTCTAAATTACATGTGTGATTAAATAACTCACCTTGAAGATCGATGCTTGTGGCAGCGTACATTTTCACCAACCGATTAAATGCCTGATCCAGTAGATCACTGGCAAAATTTAGGTAATGGACAAGCCTCTGTCCCCAGCCGGCTTTCGAACTGCTGTCTGCAACTGTCTGATCTTTCACATTGCTTTCCAGTTCTTCGTTAGTTTCAAGTGTTTGCTCGATAACCTTTGTTAAGTTATCAAGATTTTGTTTGTGTTTAGCTGCACCTTTGGGAAAAAGGACGACACGCTGTTATTATTTATAGAAACATCAATTGTAATCAAATTTTAAAAAGCTGATGTTAAATCCATTTGAAAGTTCACTCACTTTTCTTGAAACTGTCAACTTGCAATGGCTCTGCATGGGAGGGAGCTCAAAAAGGGGGAAATACATTAATTACTTATGTTTAATTTAAATAGACAGGCAACTGCATAAGCATAGAGAAACCAAAGCTGGGATAAAAAATTATCAGACCAATGTTACCATTTAAACCTCAGACACATGAAAAGGAAAATGAAAAGGAAAAATGAATTACCTCTTGGCGGTTTTGATCTCTTGAACAGAGAACACAAATTAGAGTGAATTTGAGTGTACAGCGTTTTCCAGAAATGAATCTTTTGTTCCCATTCCATTATCTCTTCGTTCATTCTGTCACCTTCTGTCCTTAGAATTTCCTGAATACTCTTGAGTTCTTCTTCACTAGAAATAAAAGTCAAATATTACATTTTCTATACTCCATCTGCAAAAAGTACACTGCAAACTCATTAAACTGTATTAGAAGCATTTCAGACATTTGGGACAAATTTACTAAGAGGGGTGCTAATTACCGATAGCCTACTGATTTCGTATTGAGGGGGCAGGGGGGGCAGTTAAGTGGGTTATCTACTATGAACTTCCATGCAAATGAACACAGGTGCATTTTCATGATTAACATAAGACCATGTGTTGGGCTCATGTGATTTTTGTATGAAAGCCTGTTTCTGTGAGGTAGGAGGGAAAAAAAAGAGTTATTATTCTTCTGTTTATCCTTTAGACTCTGTCTGTGACTAGGTCAAAGTAATTACAAAGCAGAAAAAAATGTATTACTTATCAAATGATTATTTATTTTTGAAAATAAGATATTATTTTGACATATACATCAAGAAAATAAGTGACTTTTGGCTTTCTGGTTTGAAATGTGACATTCTGGGTTGGTGGGTTGAATAATATTAATATTATTATAATATTATAATATTCCTGTTTAAATTGGAGTGTAATCTCTGAGCTACGTGCTGTGCATCATCATCAATCGCTGTGAAATTTCTGCCACACATAAACCACAGAAGCCAGAGCATGCAGGAATAATAAAGTAAGGAGTAGCTTTAGCTATGCAGGGATTGCAAAGAGTTTCAATGTGTGCTTTTACACAGTAATCTGGAAAGCAAACAGTTAAATTATTATTAAGGCAAACGCTCCTCTTTCAAAAAGTGGTAAAATCCACCAAATTATTTGAAAATAGCAGTTTAAAACAGTGTTTTTCTAAACTATTGTTATGTTTGGTAAGTAAGGAGGCTGGATATAAGTGCAAGCTTAATTTATTTAATAAAAAAACAAACTACAACAAACACAGAAAACAGTAGAAAAGAACACACTGCTTGACTTGTGAACAGGAATCATGAAGGGAAAACTAAACACAGGGTAGACATGAGACTATACAAAGAAGAACTGAAGCATAGGGCCAAATATAGCCAGACATAATGGGGAACACCTGGGTGAAGGAGGAGGAAAGGACAACACACAGAGGACAGAGGGATTGAAAGAGGCACAGATAGGGAGAATCATAGATAATTTGGTAGAATCTGTGTCATGGCTGGCATTTATGAATGATTTATATAAATGTTTTAAAAAGTCTCTCTTTTTTCTCTGAGTTCAAACTATGGCCACATTAGTACCAAATTAAGATGAGCTTTTCACAGGTCAAATAATGCACAGCCAATATTCAGTCTTGGTAAATGGGGAGCAGTGACGTCTCTGGCACAGAAAGCCTGGTGGGGCACAAAATTGTAGGGGCAGCAGCCGACTCGTCAATGAAACTACACACAAACCTGATCCAAACACAAACTCACTCCATCAATGAAATCACAAATTAATGTAAGGTGGTGCAGGAACTGGTGGAAGTGGGGACAGGAATATGAGTGACATGATAATGACATCAGATCTCACAAAACCTGGTTATACAGCATCGCATTACAAATACAAAGTGATCTAGCAGTGTATGATCATTGTGCTCTGCAAAAACATATCCAAAGCAACATATCAGAGCAGGGAAACAAGCTTTCCGGGCATTAGGAATAACACACCTTGTAATAATGCAGATGACTCACCAGTGACGGTCAATGCTTGAAAAGAAAAGATGCACGACGATCTTTCATCTGGGCACACTTGTCAAAAACTTTTCTCTCAAAGTCCATGAATGAATTCAAGTCATAGCATAGCAGAAGCAGGCGAGGAAAGCAGAAGAGTGGTTTTAGTTACATAGTCAGCCATGTTTTTCTCTTGAACCTCTCTGGACTGAAGGAGCATTTTTTGTCCTTTTCAGACTGATTGTTGTTGAAATCCTCTGGCTGGTGTCATCCCAAATGTTTAATCTCTAATTTTTGCTCTAATGGCTGGATATCTAATTTAACTTGTATTACATTTCACGATCATCAAACAAAGACTGCCAGGAGAAATAGGTCAGCTACTGGCATTTACTCAACTGGTACAGGAAGATATTTGGAATGTATTGGGCAGCATTACCACTGTCATATTTAATAAACGTGCAACAATATTAGTTATGAAGCTAAAATGTATATTTTTTTTGTTATACTGAATTATTGATCATGTTGTGCACTGTTCCACAGCGACATCTGGTGGGCGAGGCCCCACTGGCCCTTAATGTAGAGACGCCACTGATGGGAGTAGTAATATTATTATGGGCACTAAAGGAGCATAGCATGTATTTAGTAATCTGTTACACTTTTTAACACCAAACTGGAGTTTGTAATGGCACAAAACATTATTATATTACCAGGTTGAGATGACACTAATTTGCTTTTCACCCTTAGGTCGGGCGCATACAGGTTGTTAATGGGCATGGGTCAGTTCACACTACAAATAGATATGGGTCACTTGCAAACATTAACAAGAACCATCAAGGCAGAAAGAACAGATCTGAACCAGACAAAAGAAACTTGTAATCTGAATGTAGCCTTACAGTCATTGAGGTTATACACATACTTATTTTGGTGAATGATGGGGTGATGTGAAAGTTCTTCTACACTCTGTTTGTACTGTTGCAGAAGTTTTTCCATCATCGTCTCAGTTTCATCTTGGTCAATAGAAAGAAAGATCAACGTATTATGTATCCACATAAAACTCTCACAGTAGACTATATATATATATATATATATATATATATATATATATATATATATATATATATATATATATATATATATATATATATACACAACTCCATTTCCAAAAAAGATGGGATGCTGTGCAAAATGTAAATAAAAACAAAATTCAATGATGTGCACATCTTTTAAACCCTATATTTAATTGAAAATAGTACAAAGACAACACATCAAATGTTGAAATTTTATTGTTTTTTGAAAAATATTTGCCCATTTTGAATTTGATGCCAATAACACATTCCAAAAAAGTTGGGATGGGGCAACAAAAGGCTGGTAAAGTTGTGTATCCCAGAGAGGCTGAGTCTTTCAGAAATATAGATGAGGAGGGGTTCACCACTCTGTGAAAGACTACACAATCAAATAGTGCAACAATTCAAGAATAATGTTTCTCAACACAAAATAGCAAAGAACTTTTACTTTTCATGATCTACGGTACATAATAACATTAAAAGATTCGGAGAATCTGGAGAAATCTCTGTATACAAGGGACAAGGCCAAAAACAAGTATTTGCTGGCTGTGATCTTTGGGCCATCAGGCAGCACTGCATTAAAAACAGACATGATTCTGCCGTGGAAATCACTGCATGGGCTCAGAAACACTTCTGAAAACCACTGTCTGTGAAAATAGGTTGTTGCTGCATCCACAAACGCAAGGAACAAACTGTACATAAACAGGATCCAGAAATGCTGCCACCTTCTCTGGGCCTGAGCTCATTTAAACTGGACTGAGGTGAAGTGGAAAAGTGTCCTGTGGTCCAACAAACCAACATTTGAAATTCTTTTAGGAAATCATGGACACTGTGTCCTCTGGGCTAAAGACCACTCAGCTTGTTATCAGAGCACAGTTCAAAAGCCAGTATTCATGATGGTATAGGGGGGCATTAGTGCACGTGGTATAGATGATGTACACATCTGTGAAGGCACAGTTAATGCTGAACGATATATACATGTTTTGGCAACATATGCTGCCATCTAGACAACGTCTTTTTCGAGGAAAGGCCTTGATTATTTCAGCAAGACAGTGTCAAACCACATTCTGCATGTATTACAGCAGCATTGCTCCATATTAAAAGAGTCTGGGTGCTAAACTGGCCTGCCTGCAGTCCAGACCTGTCACCCACTGAAACATTTGGTGCATTATGAAATGAAAAACACAACAAAAAGGAGCCCCCAAACTGATGAGCAGCTGAAATCCTGTAGAAGAATGGAAAAACATTTCACTTTCAAAACTACAGCAATTGGTCTCCTCAGTTCCCAAACGCTTAGAGTGTTGTTAAAAGAAGAGGTGATGAAACACAGTGGTAAACCTGCCCCTGTCCCAACTTTTTTAGAGAGTGTTGTTGACATCTAATTCAAAATAGGCATATATTTTTCAAAAAGCAATAAAATTTCTCAGTTTCAACATTTGATTTGTTGTCTTTGTAATATTTTCAATCAAATATGGGGTTTAAATGATTTTTGATACACATAATTGCATTTTGTTTTTATTTACATTTTGCACAGCATCCCAACTTTTTTGGAAATGAATAAAATATATAATATATATTTATATTATGTATTTATATATTTATATATAATACATATATATAATAAAAAATACTCACAATTTGATTTTATAAAATCAGGGCTGCCTTTTGTGGGCTCTAAGCATGATTTTTGGCCCCACCCCCTACCAAACCCCCCTCAACCATCCTCCTCCCCAAATTGTGAGTTTTTTGTTTTATAAAAGGCCCTTAAACTAAAACGATGGACATTTGTTCCATTTGTAACAATATTATAATGCATAATTATCATGTAATGGAACTTAAAAGGCAGAACACCATTTATCAATTCTATTAAATATTAAGATGTCTTCTTACCATCTGTAAAATATTACTACAGTAAAATCTATATATACATAAATATTTACCAAAGCACTTATTTTTAAGTGTTTTAAAATTGAAACCAGTGTGAGTTATTACAGTTTTTTGATAAGCAACTTCTATTAGAAAGATCTAGGTATCCTACGTAGAAATTATACTTTATATACTTTAACTCAAGCAGAGCTGTATAGAACGTATGGTGTTCTTAAGGGTCTCTAAGGGTCTCTGCCTTAACAGTTGCATTACTCTGTGCTTTATGTCAGCATTAAAAGTACAACAAATGTCCATAACTTTAGTTTATGTCAATGCATTGTAATTTACTTTCTCAAACATTATTGTCTTGCAATAACTTGCTACTTAGAATTGCTTTATAAATACTTGAAATATTTATACATGTACTATGAAGTCTCTGTGTAGGCATTCTTCAAATAAAGTGTTACAAATATATTCATATGGCCAACATAACATTCACTCCCATGATGCAATGTCCTGTAAGCTATTATAGTTCAAACGCATGTTTTACACTCACCATTTTCAATTGATTCTGCCATCCCTCCCACTCCACAGCACAGTCTTTGGATCAGAATTTCACACCCCGTTTGCCTAAACACTTTAGTAATTAAAGAAACTGCAGAGAAAGTACAGTTAGACCATAATGTCTTAGATTTCCATTAGACCTGTGATCCTAAATTACCAACATTAAGCAGTCTCCAAGCGTTCAGGCGAGTCCTTTCTTCAAAACAGGTTTTGAGTGATCTGTCAACATGCAGGAAACACTCGAAATCAGGAAATTCCTTCTTCACATGCAGGTCGCAGTTTAGTGCGCAGACTCCGCTTTACATTCCAGAATATAAAACTCCACTGCAAATGGCTCAGAGCCGGAAAAAGTGCACCCAGGTTGAAAATGCTCTTGTTATTATCTGCAGTTTCAGTTGCTTTATCCAGTCTCTGCTCTATTCCATTCTCAGTTGCTTTCTTCACTTTTTTCATAATACCCACCCTTGTAATGTGCAACTCCGCCCAGTTATTTCTGCCTCCAACTGTGTCTTGTCAGTGTTTGTGTCAGCACATCCAGAAGTTAGGCTGCAGCCAGGAAATGTGAGTCATAAACTCATCCATGTGGTGTTACTCATATTGCAGCATTTTTATAGCTCACGTTTAACAGTATCTGTCTATGATTCTTCACAATTTGAGTTTCGTTGTGCTCTATGAATGTTAAGCCTTCGAAAAGAGCTGCTACGGTACTTGATGTCTTGCTCAGCCTGTCCGAGATGCATCCTGGAATGCATGTCACTCTCCTCTTCTTCTCTTGCTTCTTTTAGCATTACACTACCTAAAGATTTAGATTTATCAGCAGCAGACTATCTTTTCAAGTGTCTCTTATATCAATGCTGATGCATTTATCAGGAGCTCCAGGATTTACAGTAGTAAGCAGAATGTTTGTTGAAATTTTCAGAGGACAGTGAAATTTTAATGACTGAAAATTTGCTGACAGCAAAACGGAAAACAAACCACAATAAACACACCAGATGCCCATTAGACACTGGAAATCTACTTAAGTCATAAGGCAATAGACTAATCTAGATAGCAATAAAAGCTATAAAATAAAGGAAGATTCAAATACATGCACAGCCATAGTGCAAAGTGTGCCTTGATATGTACTTAACGTGTAAAAAATATTATTGACTTTCCTGTAGCCAATCACAGAAACTACGCATAGGACAACACACTAACTGTGCTACGCTTGCAAGGCTCATGGTTTAAAAGCCGCAGAAAACCTTCAACAAGCTCAGGGCGAAATAAAAAACACAAAGACAGTAATAAAGAGACAGCAGTGTTTATAAATTAAGTTTCGTAGCAAAAAGCTATTGGGACATAATAGAACTCTTGCTCAAAAAATACAGTTTGGAAAACATTAATACGGATTGCGAAGTCATACTGCAGCTACATCAAGGTATATATTGTGTAATGCCTTCTCCTGTGTGTACATCTGGCCCTGAGAGCTGAAATAGTGTAACTCTTTTGGCAAATATTCTTTTAGCTTACCTTCAAGGCCTGGCTGTGGCATCCACGATTATCAAACTCATGAACTTGGACATTTTCTTGCACAGCCTTCCCAAAAATGCATACATATGTATGATTTACACCTGAAACTGAAGGTGGAGACTTATTACGTCTGGTCCTTACTTCAAAGACCAATTCTAATTATTTTCTTAAGCTCTCCTAGCTTTCTTATATGATCAGCAGCGTTACGATCAAATAAAATACAATCAAATGTCAGTTTGGATTTTACCAGTAAAGTCTGAACCAAAGTTGCCTTGTTTAGTTGTACAAAGCTGTCATGTTTTTAGTCTTCTAACCCGCGCGTTGCACAGTTCATTCACATATGTGAGGATGTATAAAAAATCTCTCAAAATTAAAGTGCTTCACTTGAGTGTTTTTTTTCTTTGGAGAATTCTACAAAAAAGCAAGACTCCTTCCTCAGAGGACTCTTGGAAAGTTTTCCCTTCCTTCTTGACAGCATCCAGTCTCCTATTATTATCATGATGCTTCGTTAGTGCGCTCTGAAAGTCACAATCGCAGTTCAACTGGATTGATTTCTCCAAATGAGTTAAATTCACCCAAGTTTGAAACTTCTGGTGAATTCATGAAGTTCAAACTGCCTCTGCTTCAGCCAACTCTCCAACAAGGTGAGGCTCATTCTTCAGCAGGCTCAGATAAAATCTTTCCTCAATTTTCTGCCCTCCTGAGAGGAAGAAGTAGATCTTCCTCATCTGCTCCTGTGGTGTTGTACATTTCGTGATAATGGAGTACTTCTCACCACCAAGCAAGGATTTCAGATCATCTGCAATAGGGGTCACCAGTGAGACCCTCTGGATGAGAGCATTCCTGTGTTTGTTCACAAACCAAACAGCTGGAGAGAAACAAGACAAGGAAGACAAAAAAGGGAAACAGTGTGCAATGTTTAAGAAAAAAAAAGGACAAAATGTACCAAAATGTAGTAGAATATATGCTTACAATTTTAAATCAACTTACCGTATTCCTTGTGTGGATCTCTTGGTCTGTCTGCAAAAAAATTAAAACAAACACAACAGTTTATATATTGTGAAGTATACTGTTGCTGTCCAGAAAAAAAAATGTCCAAAAAGTGAGGAAAAAGGTACAGGAGAAGGTAAAAACATTCTTAACTCAAAATGGAAAAAATTAATGTAAATAGATTTTGTCCATTTCTCATGAAATTTTCTCACAATACAAAGGGCAGTTGATGTGTTTAATGACTTAGAACAGAGGTCACTAATAGGCGGACCGCGGTCCGACTCCAGACCCAGACACTGTCCTATGCGGACCTGAACCTATAACCGATAAACTATGGAGAATTATTTAATTTCGATGGGGTGGTCCTATTTTAATCTAGTCATTACTCAAAAACCCAAAGGGAAACTCACAGACCAATCGCATGCGTTGTACATATCACACGTGAGGCTACTCAGCCAATCAGATCTGTACATTACGATGAGCACTGAGACTCGAGTAAGTGACGCACGCACAGGGAGGGACGAGGCAAGAAACAGCAGTCGGAGAAGAAAGTGAGTCAGAGGGAAGTTATTTCACATGACGTGCTCTAAAAAGAGAAAACTGACAATAAATGTTGTTGAAATATCACTGAATTGTACTTTATTTGATTGATATTCAGTTGTCGACCACATAAGATGTTGATATACCTACTACTTCAGTATATAGTATATGACACTGAATCATAATGCAACTGTTGATGTTCCAGACCTTTGCTTGAGGACATTTTCTCTAACTAGACCTTACTGAATTTTAATTAAAGACCCCTGACTTAGAAAAATAAAAATGGAAAAAAATGGGGACAGCCCTTTTGGGAATTTTGGGAACCCTTAATTTCCCTGGAAAGTTTTCACGTAAAGCTCACCTATTGTGTGGCTCCACCTGGCCTATTACAATTGACTAGCACGAGCATGGGCATCTACATCTACATTTTCTCAGTACTGATGATAAGTGTTTCATTAACACACTGGGATCTTACGTTAGTCTAAACTTACGTGACTTTGGGTCACTTGGACGTGGAACATTTTACGTAAACACTAATATGTAAACGCTGTTCAGATTGAACATACTGGTTTTGGATGGACAAAGCCTAAAGGGCCTACATCATAAAAAGCTGAAATTCCTCACTTTTGAAGTACAGTGTTTCTCCTGGTGACCCACAGTACTGCTCAGTTTCGCTATTCCCTGCCCCAACACATCTGATCCAGCTCATGAAGGTCTCCACAATAAGCAGATGAGCCAGATTGTTTTTTTTTTCACAAAGCAGGATTTCTCAGTAAACTGTATAACTTAAGCCTAAACTTGAGGAAATCCTGCTTTGTTGTGGGTCACTAGGATCAGGACCAGCAAAGTCTTAAGAAGTATATAAACACTGACAAGTGTTGGTTTGTATTTTGTCACTGTCCAAAAAACAAGTATCCCCAAAATGGCAACTTTACAGGAAAAGGCAAAATGTTTTTAACATTGAAAGGACACTGATTAGCCATTTCATTAAGTACATCTCCTTGTATCTATACTCACTTTTTAAAACTGTAACATTTATCTGCTTGAAGCCATTTAACACATATGCATGAAGGGTTTGTGTAAAACATACTAATTAAAACTCCTGTGTTAAATTTCTCACAGCTTTACACCTAGAGAATCTGGATGGAAAACAAAAAAAGTCAATGTAAACTATACGACTGCACTATTTGGAGACTCAGAAAGCAGTTCATTGACACTTACCAGGAAAACTGGAAGTATGTCCATATTCCTCTAAAATAAAAGAAGGACGTAAACACAAGTGAACATAAAGTAAACCATAAAACTTGAGAAAAAAAGTCTACATTAACACAGAAACTTTTGTTGAAATTACCTGCTCGAATTTCTACATCCCATATTGATTTGTTCTCCTCATTAATCAAGTGCAGCTCAAAGTCATCTTGTGCACTTTTAATGTATATCTCAGAGTACTTGATAGGGGAGTGTCTCAGCTTCAACCTCTAACGAAAGAAAATGACAGAGAAATTTTGAATTTTTGAAACGTAACATCAGTTCAGTTATGGATTCTGGACCATTCTAAACTTACCTCGGGTTTAATTTTGGAAGAAAAGCGTTCATTTTCTTTTTTCGTTTCAATTTTGTACCAGCTCCTCATTTGTAAGGACCTTTCTGGTCCTGGTTTAGGAATTTTCACTGCATCTTTCTCCTTTTCCTGCTTGTCCACAACCTGTAGCAAGAAAAATGACAACAGAACACAAAAAACACATGATTAAAAAAAAATATCAGTACTGTAGATACTACCGCTATATACTGAGCCAGATTCATAAAACGCATCACCAGATTTACCATGACTTTAAGAGCAAATAGTGTTTCTAGTAGTAGATATTCTGGATTGCCAAAATTCAGGTTTTACAGAGAAAGACATTATTTAAAGATTCCTCTCCCACTTTCAACTGGCACTGTATTTAAAACAGCCTCTTCTTCCTGCATCAAATTCCATGTTTCACAAATCTTCCTCCTCTGTATGGAAAGTGGGTTTAGCTATTAATTCAAATAAGCAATTTAGCATGATTTAACATTAGCATAAGAGTAATTTAACATGTTGAGATTCTAATTACATGTTCAAATTGATTTTATTTTAAGCACTTTTCATCTTTTTTTTCTTTAATTTACAAGGATTTCACCAAGGAATTCAAGTTACAGACGTAAAAATGACATTTTACTTGTAACAAATTATTTCTCATTAGTCAAAACTGAAATTTTACTAGACAACATTGAATATTTCATAGTGGAATTTTAATTTTTACAATTGAATTCCTGATCAAGAAAAACAGGAAAGCAAAGCTAAAATAGTAATTACAATTATACTGTCACATAGTAAATTTGTTATAGCAATTATAATGAATCGGAAAAAGGCTTACCACCGAAACATGCTTATTATAATTCCTACAGATAAAAGAGGAATTTAAAGATGTTATACTTATAACATCTACTTAATAACTTCCTTATAATTTTGTGTGGTGTAGCACTGTTACTGCAGAATTTTATGAATCTGGTCCACTGTATCTTGCTTTGGTTTTTGTAAATATGTACTTTACCTGTATCATTTTAGGATCACAAGGCACCAAATATATGTGAAGGGTCAGGTGAGCAATCAAGGTGCGATAGATCAGCACTTCACAGTGAACTTTCACTGGGAATCCAGTTCGGACAAGAAAGCCTTTAGGCGAGAAGGTGGGGTGGAGAAGCTTGGCATGGAAGTGGGTGAGCTCACACGTCTCCAAGAACATTCCACTGTCCTGCACATCCAGCACTCTGACCTGGTCATTAAGGGAGGGGCTCGATCCTGTAGACGTAAAATGCTTTAATAACTCAACTACCAACACAATTTTGAAGTGACACTATATACCCACCCCTACAGCCTCACCTAAGCAGGCGAAATGTGGGAGATGAACTTCATTAAGCACCCCAGAGACGATGGTGATGTCAATCAAAGGCCCAAATGGTTCATACTGCATCCTTTTCAGGTCTTCAATATATGGTTCCCAGTCAGTGAAATGGTACATCAGGATAACCTCACTGTCACTGACCCAGCGGAGACCGGTCACTGAACATTCATAACTCCCAGCAGGGGAGCTGATCCTGGGAGACAAAGTGGTAAAAATAAAAGGTTTACAAAAGCTATATACCAAGAACAATATAAATCTTAAGTGTAGATTATATATCAGTAACTTATCATCCTGAAATATTAAAGGGGATTTAATGGCTAGGAGTCAACTGGAAATTCTCCTGTACCACACATATACCTGTAACATTCCTGCGTCTCACTTCCAATCATTAAAAAGTCCCCATCTTCATTCCAGACCTCAGGATGAAGCTGCTCCCAATGCACAGGATCCTTAAAAATAAGCAAGCAATTTGCAAGGTGGGACTTTACCAACAATACAGCTTCCGCTGCATATGTCCACACTCAATTTACACACGATGTTACCATTATCTGCTTACATATATATATATATACACACACACCATTTTACCTAATTAGTTCAAACTGCAGTCATGTATTAAAAAAAAAAAACAATCAAGTATTTAGATCTTAGACCTTAGGGATTATATTTTAATCTATTTAAACACAAGGCATTAACTGAGGTAGTAATAAGCTAAAAATATACAAAGTCAACATTTATAGGATACGTTCTATTGGGAGATGGCTATCCCAATTCCTAAATTTCAACAGGTGAAAATTACACTAAAAATGTTATTGTTTTTGTTAAAAAGATCTTTATGATCTTCTCTATAGTAAAGTGGAAAGATTTAGATTTATCAGTTAAACATTTAAATAAAAAAATGCATAACATGCTGTCCCACATTTCCATCGAAACACAAAGAATTTTAGTCTGTAGGCGGAGCCTTGTTTTAGCCCACGCCACTGCATTTTAGAGGAGAGCTGCCACAAGTGAAACACATATTTTCAATCTGGCTTTTCACATGCAGCCTAAATTTTTAGAATGTGACAAAATACCCTGCTGTATCTTTAGGGTCACTACATAAACAAAACTACATGTGAAACTGTGCACAGCTTGTTAATGTAACTCATCAATGTATATTGATATATGTGTTTTAGACTATTCGCTGTAGGCCTACTGTAATTTCATGCATGCTGCTGACCGGTCAAGCAGCCAGAGGGGTGAAGGACAAATGAAAACAATCGGTAAGGGAAGGCCACTATAAGACTTGCAGCAATGGAGCTCAGAGAATAGAAAGAATGGGACAGGAAAGTTTGTTGATGAGGTGAACCCAGTAGAGCTTAATGGCATGAAACATGGGCAGCACCACTGTAGCACAGTTGGTGCAAAACTTTGTCACAATAAACAGAAAACAGAAGTGGAAGTATGTGGGACGTTAGATAGAAGGGACAAAGCATTTTACGTAAAGTTTTACTTAATAACACCATTATACTGTAATACCAATATAACACATGAAATCAACAAATGAAATGATTATGACTGGACGTATCAGTCTCCTGACCTGGATCACTGAGCAATGATTTCTAAATGGGGCTGACAAGCCATAAATAACTTAATTCAAAAATGTGAAGTCTGTAGATTGTATATAAATTCAATTCTCACCTGTAACTCAGCACAAGTGTAGCAAGTGGGAAGTGGCCTGCAATGATCTATATAAAAAAGTAATAATAAAAAATACTAAGACAATTGCTTAACCACATATAACCTTATATACTTAATGAGCAAATACAAATTGTTTATATGCCCAACATAATTTAGAATTAAATCCTACTTAAGTGTGTTTGGGATTCCATGAATTTGTCCTCTTGTGTTCCTTCACTGTCATGCTCAAATCTGAGATCATAAGCCACAGGTCCTTTGATGGTAAAGCCAAGGAAGAAGGAAGCAGGACCTTGATACAACACAAAAGCCTGGTCTGAATAGATGGCGATCTCTTTGTCTTCAACATAAGCAAACAGCTGCTGTTTTCTGAAAACTCCACGGACGCGGAGTAGAAGTTTCTGGATGCCACTGTCCCTCCATAGCTGTCCATTTCCCCAGTCCAGTCTGGCCCATGTTTGTCTTCTCTGCTTAGGATTTTTTCTGTGCTTTGTATGGACATTGTGAACTTTCCAGCTGTGGACCAGCCTCTTCAAGCCTGTCTCCTGTCCCAGGAAAAAAAGAGGCCTCAGGTACCTGGACCGAAGGTGCTTTTCATACTTTTGATCAAAAGCTGTCTTCATATTCTCAACAGTACTACCCAAGTCTATGCTGTAGTGTAAGTTCTGATGATGTTTCACATCTGGCCAAAACAGGAGCAGAACAAGGAGGAAGAATTCTGGACTTTGGTAGAGATTCTGCTTCTCTACAAATCTCCACAGAATGCCTCTGAGAGCTGTCAGTGTCCGCAGTACTTGAGATGTCTCGTCTTTGTTGCTGAGCACGATGTTTGAGAGAATGTAGTTCATGGCAGCATTCACATCAGACATTCGCTCTTCATGCTTTTTTCTAGCGTACTCTGTGAGGCGCTCCAGAAAGCTGCTAGAAAAGCCTCGATTGAGACAAGAGAATAGGCCAGGAAAGCTTCTGTCCATTATGGAATGACAGGAACGGGCAGGCTTTGAGTGCCGAAGCAGATACCTGCTGTAACAAATATCAACATCGTCTTGCAAGTGTGATAGTTCAGATTTGTATCTGCTGGGTTTGGAGTAGATCAGGTAGCTCTCAAAGAACGCATGTTTCCTTTCTACGTTATGCTGTAGGTTTTCAATGAGGTCTTCATAGGCTAAGATCTTTTCTGCTTCTGGCAGGACACAAATGGATTCTTTTCCTGCGAGAACATCATACCACCTTTGATCGATTTTGGTCAGCGAGTCAAAAATATATTTGGCTACTTGAATATAACCAAAAAGTCCACTGCAGTTGAAAGTATGTGATACTTTCTTTGACTGAGCATTTGAGGTGTTCGGATCTTGCTCATTTTCAGCTGCCTCTTCTTCTTCTCTGAATGCTTTTATGGCTAACTCTGCTACTTTTAAAATTTTTGGAGCAGGTGATCCACTGTATATGCACATCCTCAAGTGTTTTTTGTGAATTTGTCCAAGTGTGTCCCTGAGGAAAGAGTTTTGGGGATCACGGGCAATGGCTTTACATGCCTGATGCTCAGCCTCATCAAATTCATGGAGCACGATGTAGAGGAAACGAGCAAAAGCTTGTGGGAAAAAGGCATCCTTTTCAAATGTAGTTGTGGCAATTTCAAACAATTCCTCACACATCTTTAAATCACTATCATCTTTTATATCTAAAATGAGTCTGGAGAACATCTCTTGGTGATCCTCCATGGTTTCTCTCTTAATTAGCAAACTTTTGATCATTTTCACCATATATGGAGGCTCATTTGGTTTGCAGGACTCAAGAAAACTTTTAGCTATTTCTCCTTTGGTTATGCCAGCTTCAGCCAGTATCTTCAGGCATTCATTGGCAATCATTGGATGAGCTAATCGAACACACTCACTCTTTGTCTCATCTCTTGAAAACATAACCATGAGATTCATAAAAGGCTCCATGTCTTTCTTAAAATGCACAGTGTTGGTATCAGGGGGTATCTGTAGTGCCATGTTTGTTCCAGGAATCATATGTGGGGGATCCTGCAATGTTGTCATTTCGCCTGTCGTTTGTTCAGAGATTGTACGTTGAGGGTTTAGGAAATCCTGACATCGAGACAGCGGCAGAAAGGACCCAGGAACATATGAATTTAACAGTGCCAAAACTGAGAAAAGTTCAGTGTTGCAAGCTGTTTTATTCCTCTTCACATAGTCCTTGATTTCTTTGATTGAGCTGAGATTCGCCACGTACTTCTTGCTGAAATTGTTCCTCATGAGATTAAATCCATGAAACAGCTTCAGTTCTTCATCACTGTGACTCAGTTTCATCTCTGCTTCCTTTAGTGCAAAGTTGCGCAGCTCTTCACGAGAGAGTTTGTTTTTCAGGTTTAGGGGGCCGTCAGCCATGTTGGTGAGCTTTCTCTTTGCATTTAACAGGATGGCCACTGGGACATCTGCACTTATTCCTCTCTTAACAATTTCCATGTTTAAATTTTCCATTAAATTTCCTTCGCTGGAATTGTCATCTAGCAACAGTAGTGTTCTTTGGTCATTTGGACCCCCTTCTTCAAAGAGTTTGATGATGTGGTCTGCAATGACTGCTGTTTCAGTACTGACTGGCTTTATGGTGGCACATTTGAAGTCCTTCCTCAAATCCCAAAGAACCTGCATGGCCAGCGTAGAACCTCCACTTCCTGGATGGTGATGAAGTTTAATACCGGAGACTGTACGTCTCCTTTCTTGGCATTTCATAATCTGTTTTATAACATCATTGTAGCCATTCCTCCTCACTAAGGGTGTGTTTTGCTCCTCTGCAATATAATAGCTAATCCATTTGGGTGGAGATCCTTTGAAGAAATCTGACAAAGTCTGTTGGTGTTCTAGTTCTGTTAGATTTCTGTAAAGTTTGTCCAGAAAATCATCCAACAGTGCCAGAGGAGTATTAGGATCGCCATGTACTTGGCTCCCAGCTAACCCAGCTGAAGACGATATGATGTCCTCCATTCCTAGACAGATGTATCACAATGGATGTTGACTGCTCAAGTGATGTTACATCAAAACAGATGTGAGGAATGCATCTGTGAACAGATTATGAGAGACACTGAATCATAATGAACGTTACTGGTCAGTCTGTTTCTTCTAACAACAGAACAATAGTGCTGGTAAAAGGACTAAATGAGCTTATACTTGTCTGAAATTCATAGGCCAAGCTCTGTATGCAGTTCACTAACAATTATAATTTCTAAATTTGTTTACATTTATATTCATGTAATCATGACAGCTAAATCACAGTTAAGTGCTAAGTGAATTTTTCTTCTCATGACTGGATTCAAAACCATTTTATTCAATTATGTGTACATTTATGTAGTCATGTAAAAAGTGAAAGAGGACCATTCAGGTGGTGAGAAGCTGACTTCAAATGACTGTTTGAGAACAAATGATTTATTGGTGGCCAACATTGGAATAAAATGAATGCTGCTCTCAAACAGGGCTATTTCTTTATCTTTTATCTTCTTTAGCTTAATCCCTTATCCAAGCATAATCCAAGCAGTCTTCAGAATTGAGTTGGAGAAATTAAAATGCATGATTCAGTCAACATTTAATACAATGTTCAAACAGCAGGGGTAAACAACTTCTGCATCATTATTCAGAGATCGTTAATGTACGTTTTTACTGTGCAAGCAAACAAACTCATTTTGAGATGTGTCAAGGTGAGAGTGACACATGCTGTGCCAGAGGTTGACTTGTCAATGTCCCAGTCAAAGTCAAAGGGTGAAAGTCAATGTGTCTCCTAGTGAACCGTCACTCTACAATATATTTATGTAACAAATGTTATGACATCGAAAGGCACAACCTAACATCAAGCAAATGGTAACAACTTTAATGTGTTATAGTGTAGTTAACCCTAACCCTTGTATTCCCCCAGCAACATTAACAAATGTTGACAGATACATGACCAGCATTTCTTAAGATTTACCCAGAAGACCATGAAGGTAGCATTTATGATTACTGAGCTGTGTGTATAATAGTGACATCTCTAACATCCCATTACAGGCAAAGTGCCAAATCACTCATTCTCAAAATCACCATTAAAAATAAAAATATTTGGTGATGTAATTTCTGACCCCATCAAAGTCAAGAAGTTTTTTTTTATTATTTTACACTTCACAATGTCCCTCAAATATGCCAGTGTTATACGACTCTCTTGATTCATTGAGCTAACCCAAAATTAAGGAGACTTTTGCCAAGGACATGACAGTTCAATATCCTTTCTTCTTCTCCGTTCAACTCTCTGAGTATCCCTTGACCCTGAAAAAGCTTTCGATAGGATGGAATGAGGCTGTCTGTCCTTCGTTTTAGATCAATTTGGCTAAAATTAGATAATTTTATCCAATGGATCCTACAGACATTAACTATCTGGCTAGGCAGTCAAGTGAGACTTGGGGGCATTACACCCCAAAGAGTAGTCCATAAACTTTACTCTAAGCAGACGACTTTCCTCTATACATTTCCAACTCCACCTCTCCCCTCCCACCAATATTAGAAAATTTTGAACACCACAGCCATACGTACAAAGCATGGTAATTCATGCAGAGCAACTCCATAAAAGATGCCTCCAATATATGTTTCTCCAACAGAGTCTAAAAAACTCTAATCTGATGTAAAGGTCACTCAGTGACCTCAGACATCTCATCTCAGGCAACAGCATTAAGACTGATTGGGACAAAGTGTACAAAAGAGTGATGAAGCGAAAGCCCTACTGAAGAGTTAATGCCACATCATACACTGACGAGAATTCATTACACAGTGAAAACCGGATTTTTCCTTCTGATCAAAGGGAAATATTTCTGCAGTTCACTCCCCAAAAATAAATAAATAAATAAAATTATTTATTTATTTCATGAAACCAAGGTCTAAATCATCTTAAATATTAAGTTTAACTGCTTAAGAATGACTGATGTAAGCTGAAATACTGAGTATAAATACAACTCTTTGAATAATATTTTATAACTAAAGATCGATTTATAGATTTTTTAACCCTATATTTTCTCAGCATGAACTAATTAACTAGTTAATAAGATTTTGTGTCAGATGTGTTGGATGTGGTGTTGCCGGACCAGCAATGGAAATGTCACGTGACCCTCACCCCGCGCATACATGCATATCGCTGCCGTCGGAAGAAAACCTTGTATCTCCATTTTTGTTGTTTTTCAGTTTTTCTGGTTCCATTGACTTACATTAAAAGTAACGTTTTTCCTTCTCCTGTAAAGTAACCATTTTGGAGATACAAGGTTTTGTTTGTGTGTGTGTATGTGTGTGTGTGTGTGTATATTTGGATCAGTGTTCTGACATTTTTCTAGAAACAGGTGAAAGTTTTCTACTTTACTTTTTGTTTGCTATTGTTCACTTGTAGGGGTGCAACAATTCTGAAACCAAGACCGAAACTGCGATACAAACGTGCATGGTCTCGCATCGTGGTTTTGTTTTCTAGAACTGCGACAAAAGACTGTGGACGTATGCATCATGGTTTTGGTCTTGGTTTCATGATGGTTACACCCCAATAAGTGAACAATAACAATCCCAACTCGCTGCCACCGCTCCTAGTGCAGCGTGTTCAGCTCTCATTATGTTACTAATGCAAGAAAACTAATTTTAGTTCCGTTAATATTAGTTTAGCTTTACTGTTACACCAGTATGCACATAAATGCAGATAACACAACATACAAACACTGGAAAACACACTGATTCCCTCACCTCTCGGGAAATGAGTTGCAACCTGAGGCAAGTTAGTCCAGTTTATTGTCAAAGGAGCAGATATCAGATTGTAATGAGTTAAAGGGGGAAAACAGAGTCTCTTGGCGTTAGCCTTTAGCCTAGCATGGAGACCAGCTGGATATCTATGTGCAGCGCTCCTCACTCAGCCAGCTGCTTCAGGCAATGCTGCAGTCTTTTCCTACAAGTCATTAAAAGGGATAGTACCCACCATCCTTACCACCTTCTACAGAGGCACTATAGAGAGCATCCTGAGCAGCTGTATTACTACCTGGTTTGGGAATTGCACCACCTCCAACCGCAAGACCCTCCAGCGAATAGTGAGGACAGCTGAAAAGATCATCAGGGTCTCTCTTCCCTCCATCACGGACATTTACACCACACGCTGCATCTGAAAAGCCACTAGCATTATAAACGACCCCACACACCCCTCACACCAACTATACGCTCCTCTGCAATCTGGTTGAAGGTACCGCAGCATTCGGGCCCTCACAGCCAGACTGGGCAACAGTTTCTTTCCACAAGCCATCAGATACCTCAACTCTCACGGCTGAACTGAAGGACACCCAAATGGACATACACACACACAGAGGTGTAAGTAATGAATTACATTTACTCTCGTTACTGTAACTGAGTACAGTTTTCCCTGTAACAGTACTTTTCAGAGTAGAATTAAATCATAGTACTTGAGTTCATTTTTAATGAAATACTTTTACTTCGCTACTTTATTTTTCATAACGTTACAAAGTAAAAATAAATTATGACCATATCAGTTCAGAAACCAAAACAAACGAAGCGCGGTTAAATTTAAAAGATTCACCAACCAAAAAACAGCAGCTCCGGCAGGAAAAACACTACAGAGATGTCCAGTTTAGTGGAGAAGGACAGAGGAGAACTGAACCAGCTCACATGAGGAACAGACCGCGACCAAATGGTCATCTGTATTCATTTAACATGAGCTAAAGAAAACAGCGTTATTATCAGCGACCAAACACGAAACCTGCTGAGATCCGCTCTCACAGCTCAACTCCAGCCCGAGGGAGTGTTAGCCGAGCTAGCTGATCCGAACTAAACAGGTACCGTGTTTACGATTTTCTTCTGTCTTTTAAAATGCTTCTCTTTATTAAACTTGAAATCTGCTGCGTATATTTTATTACAGTGTCTCTCAGCTACTTTAGTTAACAGGTGTCGCCCACAGCCCACAGTTTACTGTTTAAAATACAGCCAAGTTTAGCTGCTGTTTTGGAGATAAACGGTCGTGAACGGCTGTGAGACAAGAAATCTAGTCTAATACAGGCTCTTTATCAACTATGCACAGGGATTCTGTCACGCTGTTGACTGGCCTGATCTGATCCCTCCCCACCTCCCCGCCCTCTCTCTCTCTCTCTCTCTCTCACCCCCCTCTGCCTCAGTGTTTGTCTTTAACTGTGAGAGGCTGTGAAGCTGTTTAACTGTGAAATGCAGTAATAATGTCTGATTCTGTGTAAAGTGATCAGCATGACTACCATTAAAATATATTATCAGTGAAAATATACAGTTTGAAGGCTGAGTCCAGGGTGCTGATGGGCAGCAGGACTCTCACTAAAATTACATTATTAATTAAGCAATCTACTCATAATTTTGACTTCTAAAATATTTTACTGGAAAAAGATAAAGTAGGACATCTTATATAATCATCTAACCATGAAACACATGCAGTTTAATGTAAACCTTGCTCCTTAAACAGTTCTCAGAAAGGTGTGTAACTACACTAGCAGAGTGAACTGTGTTCAGTCTGTCAGAACTTTAGCTTTAGTGTTTTTCTGTACAGATTATTTCCAGCGATGTAGCCGAGTCAGCTCAGAAATATGTTCTGGTTGTACTTATTTACTCTTACTTGAGTCATTTTATTTACTAATACTTTTACTTGTACTTGAGTACATTTTGGATGTAAAACAGCATTGTTTTTAATTTTACCATTCCACCAGAATGTAACTGCTGCACCGTTTGAGGTGAAAATTCCAGGGAAAATTAGAATTTTTTTCTTTGTACCATTTTTGCCAGGCTCAGAGAAGCCACTGGGGGCTTTACATACACTCATCTTTATGCTGTTTGGGTTAGAAAGCGATTTTGACATGTCTTCGAAACCATAGAGAACCCTGTTAGATTTTGTGCTCATGTGTGTGTAAAACAAGCAAGTTCTGCCTAAAAAAAGATGGACTAAGACAAGGTTAAATATGAAGCATTTAGCAGGTAATAACAGCTATAATTTATAGCAAACATGCTGTATTTTAGAAGTTTCTTAAGTGATGCTATTTTTACTTAACACACGCAAACAACATGTACTTCATTAGTTACCATTACTGTCTTAAAACAAATAAAGCACCAAGAGGTGAATTTGGACCTGTCTAAAATTCTACTGCAGCATCCACTAGAACACAGAAGATTAATAGCTGCTTTTTATGTCTTTAACAACCAGATGCCACTATTGTGTTTTTTTTTATGGAGGCCTCACCCAGTATAAGGAAATGTCAGGCTACATACAGTTAAGAAAAGCAATGCACAGCAAACAAAGGCATTTATTTAGTTTTACCTTTGCATTAGTTTTACCTCTGGGACTGTGAGTACAATTGCATGCACGTTTATGCTACAGACACATAGATAGACATATAAATAGATAGACAGACATATAAATAGATAGACAGATAGATAGATACATTTACATTTATGCCGTAGTATAAGGAGAGGCAATTCTGGTCCTGGAGGGCAAAAGTCCCCATAATTTGATGGTTTACCTACTCAAACACGCCTACTAAACCTGCTCATTAAGGGGAGGTTGAAATCAATTTCACAGGAAAATCAACAAACTGAGCCCCCCAGTATCTGAATGTACACCCCTGCTGTAGTACAATATGTAACAACAGCTCTATATCACTTGAACAGTGTCAGCTACATTTGTGTCTGAATGTAAAGGCTTTTGCTTTGTCACTAACAAGCAAAGTTAAGGGCTGCAATAACATGTCTGAAATGTCTATAATTGCTGTTCAACCACAACTATTACAAAAACGGGGAAAAGTTTCCAACCACAGATACAAGGCATTTCCTGGAAAGTGTTACATCTACTTTTTGCTGGATAAAACATGTTAAGTACAACATTTTCGTATCTGGTGATTGAAAGAACAATAAAATGAAGTAATAAGCGTGTTATAGGCCAAATGTAAAGTGTCAAGCACATTTAGTCAGTCTTATAAAGTGAAATGACTACTTACATTTTTCATTGGAGAATGTAGTCCAGCAACACCAGTCTGCCCATCAAGTCTCAATCTGTGTTGTATAATGACTTTTTAAACCCATCTGAAAAATAAAATATGATATAGCAGCTCAGTTGGCATCTGTGGCAATAACAGAGACGAAATGGAGGCAATTTCCAGTTCATACTACAAGGAAGTTCACAGTGATTGGCTGGTTCTTATACTATGAGGTGCCATTCATTCATTTCATCAATCAGAGTTCAGAGCAGAAGATTTGAAAGTAACATCAATGTCACGTAAACAGATACGAGGAAAAAGTTATCCAGATGTAGCTGACCGAATGCCCAAGCTGCTGTGTAGAGCTCGAGGCATGTGGTGCTCAGACGAAGCTTTCTTTTCATGCAAATCTGATTTCTCTGCGGGTGCCACTCCAGATCAAGGAGCCGGAGATGTGATTGACATTTCCATCGTCCAATGAGGACGAGCGGTTGGTTTCTCTGGTTCAGCAGAAAGTAACCGGCGAAAAGTTGATCATAAAGAAAACAAATGTTATCAAACATATTTAAAAATGTATGAATATTTCACTTATAAATATCTGGCCATTTACTTATTTATTATTTGTGATAAACACGTCGAGCCTTCCATATTAGAATATTAGAAAACCATACATGTCGAGTGAAATATAGTAAATTACGACTGATCCGATTTTCCACGGTCAGACAGTAGACCTACACTTCACTAGGGGTGGGCACAGAGGGGCTTTTTGAAGCAGAAACGCATTTGAAGAGGAGGGCTCGGGGCGGACAAACAGATCAACCTCGCCATCTGCTGGTCAGTGAAAGATACTACACTTTCACTTCAATGACCAGGCAGAAAACAGAAAGTTAGCGAGACCAGATTGCAATACAGTGGTTTTTCTCTCGATATATATAGCGAGGCACCTGTTAAACCATTAGGACCCTTTACATTGTGATATCAACCCATCAAAAAAGCCAAAACACATCACAAAACCATTAACGGTTGGATGACACAGAAAGGCCTCAGGCTGTCGCATCAGGCGTCAAACATTTGGCCTTCACTGATGTGAATTTGAGGGAATGTTGGCTGAGTTTGTCAGACAAGCTCAACTCAGGAGGAGCTAAAATAACTCTAAAAGAGAGAAAGAGGTCCAGCATCTTCTACCTCAGAGCTTATAGGCCTTTTCAGCATCTTCTACCTCAGAGCTTATAGGCCTTTTCAGCATCTTCTACCTCAGAGCTTATAGGCCTTTTCAGCATCTTCTACCTCAGAGCTTATAGGCCTTTTCAGCCTCTTTTACCTCAGAGCTTATAGGCCTTTTCAGCCTCTTTTACCTCAGAGCTTAAAGGCCTTTTCAGCCTCTTTTACCTCAGAGTTTCAGTGAGAGTGCAACTGCTCAGCTGTAATTAGTTAGCATAGTTAGCTCAGTAACTCACATTGACCTCGATACAGTTTTAATGAACTGTTAGCCTTTTAGCTGACCTTACTGCATTATTTAGCTGGACAAAACTCACCAGTGAATGCAACACTTTCCAGTTAAAACAGGTTCCATGGCAACGCTTATACCACAGATGCTTGTGTATGAGGCAGAGAAAGGCATATACGTGACCAATTAAAGTGATTTGCTTAAGCTGCGTCCTAATTTTCTCATATGATTAGCACCATTACAGTGTGAATAAATAATCCCATTTACAAAGTGCTCAGCTCTTTGGAGATTCCTACAAAGAGACAAGGCTCATTTCTCAGAAGACTCTGTGAAAATGTCCTGCTCCCTGCTTTAGCTAGAACACAGTGCTGGCCCCCACAAACTAACAGCTTCATTAGTGCGCTCTGAAAGTCACAACCGTAGTTCAGATGGATCGATTTCTCCAAATGAGTGAAATTCACCCAAGTTTGAAATTTCTGGTGAATTCATGAAGTTCAAACTGCCTCTGCTTCAGCCAACTCTCCAACAAGGTGAGGATCATTCTTCAGCAGACTCAGATAAAACCTTTCCTCAATTTTCTGCCCTCCTGAAAGGAAGGAGTAGATCTTCCTCATCTCCTCCTGTGGTGTTTTACATTTCGTGATAATTGAGTACTTCTCACCACCAAGCAAGGATTTCAGATCATCTGCAATAGGGGTCACCAGTGAGACCCTCTGGATGAGAGCATTCCTGTGTTTGTTCACAAACCAAACAGCTGGAGAGAGAGAAAGAGAGAGAGAGCAAAGAAAAGTAAAGAGAAACAGCATACAAGAATTTACCAAAAATAAATGCTAAAGTAGTTTGAATGAATAAATTTACATTATTATCAACTTACCATATTCCTTGGACAGATCTCTTTGTCTGTCTGCAAAAATGAAGCAAAAACACACCAGTTTGTATATTGTGAAGCATTTTTTGTTATGCAGAAAACAAGGGCCTTCATTATACCTTTATGTGGGGGGTAAACAGACTTAGATCTCAAGATGTCTCGTTCAGGATATCCAGTTTGATAGATCTGGTCTAATTGGGGTTTTCATTTTAAAGCACAGGCGGCACGGTGGCGCAGTGGGTAGCGCTGTCGCCTCACAGCAAGAAGGGCCAGGGTTCGATTCCCGGCGGGGCGGCCAGGGTCATTTCTGTGTGGAGTCTGCGTGGGTTTCCTCCGGGTACTCCGGTTTCCTCCCACAGTCCAAAAACAAGCAGTCAGGCCAATTGGACATGCTAAATTGCCCCTAGGTGTGAGTGTGTGTGTGACTGTGTATGTCTGTCTGTCTGCCCTGCGATGGACTGGCGACCCGTCCAGGGTGTATCCTGCCTTCCGCCCAATGACGGCTGGGATAGGCTCCAGCACCCCACCGCGACCCAGAAGGATAAGCGGTTTAGATGATGTATGTATGTATGTATGTATTTTAAAGCACACCCAGTCTGTGGCTTCATCTGTCCTATCACAATTGACTAGCATTAGCGTGCTACTCTTTGTGCATTTAAAATTTATAGTAAGTATGCAAAATATGTATGCAAAAGTTTAGGCACACCTGGCCAAATTGCATATTTTGTTGATTTCTGAAGGACGTAAACACAACCTCCACAGACCACTATTTTAAAAAGCAACATTTTTCTGCAAATGTCAGTAAACAGTTACTTCATATTTGATTAACTTCAAACAAAAAGAAAAACTAATTAAAGTAACTGTGGCATGGACAAAAGTTTGGACACCTATCGTATATATAACAGCATAGGCTTTTTTTGCAGCCAGCTGTTTTTTTTTCACGTTAAAAGAATTTTCACCTACTCTTTTTAGCAGAACGCATCTAGTTCTGTGATAATCTTGGGCTTTCTTGCATGCACAATATGTTCAGGATCTAGCCACAGAGTTTCAATGATGTTCAAGGCAGGAAACTGCAGGCCATTTGCTGTCATATGGGGGTTTTGCTTTGCATTTCTGTCCAGCATATGAGCAGTTCTATCTGACAGCTTTTTTTGTTTTTTCAAATCTTGCCTTGACTTCCACAGTTCCCCTTAACTGCCATTTCTTAATGATATTTTGGAGAGTGGAAATTCTGAGCTGGAAACACTTTGATATCTTTTTATAGCTTTCTCTGCTTTATAGGTGTTGATTAATTTCATTAGCATTAGCATTAATTTCATTTGGCCTAAATTTTCCGTATAGAGTATCTGGACAGAGAACAGAAGAAAGCCATTGCTCATTCTATGACTGTGCTAGGCAGTTTATTGACACTTACCAGGAAAACTGGAAGTCTTTCCATATTCCTCTAAAATAAAAGAAGCAAGCAAATATTGTTAAGAAATAAAACAAATACATAACTTTGGGGGGGGGACTGTCAACAATATTCTGAAAAAAATATTTACATCCTCCTGATTTGAAATATAAGACAAAGAGAACATAAAGAAACAACAAAAAAAAACAATTGTTAAATGATCATATCATTTATTAAAGGAATAAAGTTTTGCAACACTTATACCACCTATGTGAAAAAGTAATCACCCCGTCCCAAACTTAATATCTGATTATGCCACCTTTAGCACCAACAACTGCAACTAAATCCTTCCCATACCTGAAGATCAGTCTTTCACGTGGAGGAATTCCTTGTAGAATTGCTTTAATTCAGTTGTGGTAGACAGCAGAATTCATGGTTCTATCAATTAAGGCAAATCGCCCAGGCCCTGAAACAGCAAATCATCCCCACACCATCATACTACCACCACCATATTTTACTGTTGGTGTGATGTTCTTCTTGTGGAATACTGTGTAAACTTTCTGCCAGATGTAACTCGACCCCTGTCTTCCAAAAAGTTTGACTCATTGCTGTGCTCTCAGAGGAATTTTGGTTGGCCGGACACTTCTGGGAAGAACTTTGGAAATAGCTTTGTAATCCTTTTCAGACTAATATTTGAATAACTTTCCTTCTCATCTCTTCCAGAATTTGTTTTGATAGAGGCATGGTTTGTTGCTTATGAGATCTTTCAGCCTACTTTATATTGCTGGATAGGTCCTACTTAAGTGTGTAGATTCAACAGCACTCGCAGTAATCAAGCTTGGGTGTGTCTAGTTAAATTGATACCAATAAAATATCTATATAATTAGGTTAATTGGTTGCTTGAGTAAGTAAAGGGGCAATTGGTCTTGGATCTGTTTTTTTTTTCAATGAAATGGTCATTTAAACTCTGTATTTTTGTCTTTGTCTTATATGAAATTTTGTGAAAAATCTGAAATAATTACTTGTGACAAACAGTAACTGGACAATGTACTGCACCTTAACACAGAACCTGTTTGTTGTTGAAATTACCTGCTCGAATTTCTACATCCCATATTGATTTATTCTCTTCGTTAATCAAGTGCAGCTCAAAGTCATCTTTTGCATTTTTTATGTAAATCTCAGAGTACTTGATAGGGGAGTATCTCAGCTTCAACCTCTGAAGAAAGAAAGTAACAAAGAAATGTAACAAAATATAACAACAGATCTGTTACGGATTGTGAACCTTTCTAAAATTACCTCGGGTTCAATTTTGGAAGAAAAGTATTCATTTTCTTTCTTTGTTTCAATTTTGTACCAGGTCCTCATTGTTAGGGACCTTTCTGGCCCTGGTTTTGGAATTTTCACTGTGTCCTTCTCTTGCTCTTTTTTGTCCACATCCTGTAGCAAACATAAAAAAATACAAGATTTGAAAAATATCGGTATTGTAGATACATTGTACTGTGTGAAAAAGAAACTATGCATGAATATTTTTGAGTTTTCCCAACAGCTAATTTCATAGTCATCCAGAATAAGGTTCAATCGTTTACTCAATGGGTCTTATTCACCAATCATTCTTAAGAACAAATTTCTTATCGAATCCAACTTAAACAGTTTTTACAAGATTCTGATGTTCACCAAGTTTAAATGTCATGAATCTGGCGTAAACTTTTCCTTAGGACCTTTCTAAGAACAAATTTAAGAAAAATCCAAGGAAGATATTGGTGAATGAGGCTCAGTGCTAGGGTGGCAATAAAACATTACATTTTTTAAAAAAGGAAAAGCTTACATTACATTTACATCCACTGGGAGACACCATGCTATTAAGGTAACTAATGTAGCATTAGGAGTCTTGCTCAAGGACTCTTGGCTCTGCCCCAACCTCTGTCAGCTGGGTGGAGGGTAGCAGTGTTATCCACTACTCTGTACCAACTGTAGGCTAAAGACAAGAACAAGGTGCATGTATTCAATAGATATAACTAATAAAACCCCCACCCTGCTGGCCTTTAGTATAGCACAGCAGGTATTTCCTCTGTCCTCCACCTAGCAGACTGGTTAGAGTCAACACCCAGGCCAACACATCATGCTGTACCAATAAGCATCCATGAACAAGACTCCTAATGCTGCGTTATCTTACCTCTATAACATGATTTGACACTATTCTTGATAAAAGCATCTGCCTAGATATTTTTTCTCTAAAAATGTTAATGTTGGATTAACAAACAAATCTAAGTTGGTTAAGCCAATGGACCTTGAGAGCTGTTGAGAAAATGAAAAAATCTTGATGCATCATGTTGCCTTTTATGTTACACTCTATCAACAGTTTCTGCACTGTATCTAGCTTTGTTTTTCATAAAGATGTATATTTACCTGTATTATTTTTGAATCGCAAGGCACCAAATATATGTGAAGGGTCAGGTGAGCAATCAAGGTGCGATAGATCAGCACTTCACAGTGAACTTTCACTGGGAATCCAGTTCGGACAAGAAAGCCTTTAGGCGAGAAGGTGGGGTGGAGAAGCTTGGCATGGAAGCAAGTGAGCTCACACGTCTCCAAGAACATTCCACTGTCCTGCACATCCAGCACTCTGACCTGGTCATTAAGGGAGGGGCTCGATCCTGTAGACGTAAAATGCTTTAATAACTCAACTACCAACACAATTTTGAAGTGACACTATATACCCACCCCTACAGCCTCACCTAAGCAGGCGAAATGTGGGAGATGAACTTCATTAAGCACCCCAGAGACGATGGTGATGTCAATCAAAGGCCCAAATGGTTCATACTGCATCCTTTTCAGGTCTTCAATATACGGTTCCCAGTCAGTGAAATGGTACATCAGGATAACCTCACTGTCACTGACCCAGCGGAGACCGGTCACTGAACATTCATAACTCCCAGCAGGGGAGCTGATCCTGGGAGACAAAGTGGTAAAAATAAAAGGTTTACAAAAAGTATGTACTGAGAATGTTATGAACTTTTCTATATTTTATATTATGGGAGAGTGGAGCACAACCTAACGTGGGGTAAAAATGTAGCATCGATATTTTCTGTAGTTAAATAGATTTAAGCAGGAGCTGTTTTTGGTCATATTCTCGTACTCCCATAGCATCACCATCACCATTTCCACAGCAGTCATACATTTTATCGAGCTGATATGTGATTTTCTACTGATACCAGTCAAAAATAAATTTGCCAGTGTTCGACGTGGCCTCTTTCATTAATCATATTCATTTTGATGCATATGTCTTCTTGTGTTTAGGTTGGAAAGCTCGTCTCATTCAAATAACATAAAATTAGCTTTGCATTGTATTTTGCATCAATTTACCAGAATGTTTAATCCACTGTGACTGTTACAACTAACCCCTCTATCTGTTACCATTAACCCCTGTTGAATTGTTCAGAAACGGTAGGTGCTGGAAACAAAGTTAACAGTTTCATTTGTTAGCAAAATGTAAAATGTGAGTGGCACAATGTGGCAGTGTTGGAAACTGCTGAACCGGCCGGTGTGTATAACCCTAAGAAAATGAGGGGAGGCTTCATGATTGTGCATTGATAAAGTGCAGAGGCGATTCATGGGCCCCTCAGAACAAAGGCCAGAAAGCTAGTGCATAGCTTGCATACCCAGAGGACACTGCACTCGAGTAAGTAGGCCAGTTGCATCCTGTGAAAGTGGGACACTGCTTTTTGTGCCTTTGTGGTATGTGTGGCAATGTTCTTTTCCATAGAATCTAACTACTTTAAAGAGGTCAACTGCAAATTCTCCTTTAATGTACATATAACTGTAGTATTCTTGTCTGTCACTTCCAAACACTGATAATCCTCCATCTTCATTCCAGACCTCAGGATGAAGCTGGTTCCAATATACAAGGTCCTTAAACAAGCAAAGCAAACACACATATGAATACGGTTCGCAAGTTTAAACCACACCTCCAATATATGGTTGTATGTGTGTGAAATGAGTAAGTCACACAATGGGATTCTTCAAAAAACAGAAATAAGTCCAAAAACCAGAAAAGCACACGAAACAAAACACTTAGACTTGATGAAGTAACAAACAAGACATTGCAGTGAACAGAGGTAAACAGAGTCCTTACATAGCCTACTAATGAGCAACTGAACAGGTGTGTAAACCATTTCAGAACTGGCTCCTGAGATGGAGAATTCAAGGGAGTGGACAAGACAGACTGTAGGAAGTGAGAGAACTTTCAGATTGTAGGCTGGAGTTCTCCAGTTTTTTGCTTTATGTTATGCCTGGCCCAACGTTGATGCCAGTTAGCCCCCATAATAACCAAAATAGGTGTCCCAATTTCAGGAAGGACACAATTATCTTTCTAGATTATGCTGAGCTGTGGAGTTTGTACAACCCAAACATTACCCAGCTGATCTACTCACAGTCCAGACTTGACTGGCCTGATTTATAATCATAAATATGTGTAATATTTATTACTCAGCATCATGTACTGGATGCCAAATCTCTTAATGAAACATAAGGCCTTCATGTAAATTGTAATTACATTTTACAGGTAATATAATAACATTATCTTTAATATATTATTGGGGATTTTCATGAGGATGATCATATGTTATACTTTCTAAGGTTATTGGGAATTTGTTTGATTTCCAAGTTTATCGTAGTACTATTGAAACCAGTTTGGGGAACACTTAGAATGTTTTATATGGAGATGTAGTACTTCCAGTTAATATGATCACATCATGCAGACATTGCTAATTAGAAGCTAACTGCATATCAGTAGTTTGTGTGGGATAAGTTGGGGCCTCGTAATGAGGTTTTCATCACAGCAAGACGGTGTAAGTCACTGGATTGTCTATGGTTGGTGGGATACGAGTAGAGCAGAGAGCTAGCGGGTTCCTTCAGTAATATTCAAAATTGGAAGTTGCATATTTTATGGAAGTTTTCATTATTAAACTGCAACATACAAAGTAAAAAACATGCTTTTTGAATGTCATATTTAAGTCTGAGCCATGGTATTAAATGCAACGTAGGACAGTATATGTGGAAATGTACACCACCATTGGCTTAGCGCTAACATACCACCTTTGCAAATCCCTTAGAGATGGAAGCAGAAATTAACCTTACTCCAACAATGGTAATGAACAAACCATTTCACTTATAAAGTGTGAATCTACCTGCAGCAGCTCACATAACCAGACTGAGCTAACAGCTGTTTTTGCATGTAGCCTATAAATTCAACACTGTCAATACATTTGATCAAACAAGAATTAATGCATGAAAGATTGTTGTTGGGCCCTGGGGAATCTGGGACCTCCTAATTAACCTCTTGGGCCTCCTGAATATCTCAAATTCAAATTTCTGGTGATCCCTGAGAATAAAGTTAGTATGACTTTATACTGTCTGTTAGGGGAAAATAGACGCTCAAATACCAATTCAGGGAAAGGTCACTGTTTAGCTGCTTCACCCACAATGAGCTTTTGTGTTTGGTATTCTTGACAAACTAGTGAAGCAGCACTGGTTTGGGTGGCACTGTAGCACATTGGTTCACCCAGTTGGTCCTATATAGCCTACCAACTGTAACTATGCCTAAGATAAATCTCAAAAACTTTACAATATGCCGTAACATATATGTAAAGCTGAAAACTTATCTTCCCAAGGCATTATTATTAGTGAGCCAACATGGGAGCCCCCCCCCAAATAGCAGAGAGTATTTCAGACACTGCCTACCTATGAAAACTTTGAGGTACCTTCTTTGTCAAAGAGACAAATACCACACAATCTTTTAGTATCTATATTCATATCTCTTCATTCTGGACAGTCTATTTGTATTTTGTTACAATCGTAATCTCATGCTATGAAAGGTCTTCAAGGCCTGCTTCCTTAGATGTAAGAGACTGTGCTCTGATAATTCAGATCAGGAATGTAGCAGACAAGTACCACATTAGATTGTGCAGATTACATTAAATACAAATTTTATTCTCATCTTTATAGCAGCACAAGCATCACAAGTTGGAAGTGGCTTGCAATGATCTACAAAAAAAAACAAAAAACAATAAAAGTAAATAAAATAATTGATTAAGCATGCATAGATATATATATATGTGTTAATGTGTTCAAATGCTGGTTATTAAACTTTAAAATGTAAAATATAAAGTCTTACCTAAACATTCTTGGAATTCCATGAATTTGTCCTCTTGTGTTCCTTCACTGTTGTGCTCAAATCTGATGTCATAAGCCACGGGTCCTTTGATGGTAAAGCCTAGGAAGAAGGAAGCAGGACCTTGATATGACACAAAAGCCTGGTCTGAATAGATGGCGATCTCTTAGTCTTCAACATAAGCAAACAGCTGCTGTTTTCTGAAAACTCCACGGACGCGGAGTAGAAGATTCTGGATGTCGCTGTCCTTCCATAGCTGTCCATTTCCCCAGTCCAGTCTGGCCCATGTTTGTCTTCTCTGCTTAGGATTTTTTCTGTGCTTTGTATGGACATTGTGAACTTTCCAGCTGTGGACCAGCCTCTTCAAGCCTGTCTCCTGTCCCAAGAAAAAAAGAGGCCTCAGGTACCTGGACTGAAAGTGCTTTTGATACTTTTGATCAAAAGCTGTCTTCATATTCTCAACAGTACTACCCAAGTCTATGCTGTAGTGTAAGCTTTGATGATGTTTCACATCTGGCCAAAACAGGAGCAGAACAAGGAGGAAGAATTCTGGACTTTGGTAGAGATTCTGCTTCTCTACAAATCTCCACAGAATGCCTCTGAGATCTGTCAGTGTCCGCAGTACTTGAGATGTCTCGTCTTTGTTGCTGAGGACGATGTTTGAGAGAATGTAGTTCATGGCAGCATTCATGTCAGACTGTTCCACCTCATATGTTTTCCTAGCGTACTCTGTGAGGCGCTCCAGAAAGTTGCTAGAATAGCCTCGATTGAGACAAGAGAATAGACCAGGAAAGCTTCTGTCCATTATGGAATGACAGGAATGGGCAGGCTTTGAGTGCCGAAGCAGATACTTGCTGTAACAAATATCAACATCCCTTTGAAAGTATGATGGTTCAGATTTGTATCTGCTGGGTTTGGAGTAGATCAGGTAGCCCTCAAAGAATGCATGTTTCCTTTCTACGTTAACCTGCAGTTTTACAATGAGGTCTACATAGTCTAGGACGTCTTCTGCTTCGGGTAGCACAAGAACGGATTCCTCTCCTGTGAGAACATCATGCCACTTTTGGTCAAGAGATGTCAGAGTGTCAAAAATAATTTTGGCTACTTGAATATAACCAAAAAGTCCTCTGCAGTTGAAAGTATGTAATACATTCTTTGACTGAGCATCTTGCTCATTTTCAGCTGCCTCTTCTTCATCTTCGAAAGCCTGTATGGCTAACTCTGCAACTTCTAGAATTTTTGAAGTTGGTGATCTGCTTTTTGTGCATGTCTGCAAGTGTGTTTTGTGGATTTGTCCAAGTGTGTCCCTGAGGAAAGAGTTTTGAAGATCACGTCCAATGGCCTCCCAAGCCTGATGCTCAGCTTCATCAAATTCATGGAGCACGATGTAGAGAAATCGAGCAAAAGCTTGTGGGAAAAAGGGATCTTTTTCAAATATAGTTGTGGCAATTTCAAACAATTCCTCACACATCTTTAAATCACCATCATCTTTTATATCTAAAATGAGTCTGGAGAACATCTCTTGGTGATCCTCCATGGTTTCTCTCTTAATTAGCAAACTTTTGATCATTTTCACCATATATGGAGGCTCATTTGGTTTGCAGGACTCAAGAAAACTTTTGGCTATTTCTCCTTTGGTTATGCCAGCTTCAGCCAGTATCTTCAGGCATTCATTGGCAATCATTGGATGCGCTAACCGAACACACTCACTCTTCATCTCATCCCTTGAAAATATAACCATGAGATTCATAAAAGGCTCCATATTCTTTTCAAATAGCAATTTCTCATATATAACTACATGTGAGGAATCTTGCAATGTTGCCATTTTTCTGTCTGTCGTTTGTTCAGAGATTGTACGTTGAGGGTTTAGGAAATCCTGACATCGAGACAGCGGCAGAAAGGACCCAGGAACATATGAATTTAACAGTGCCAAAACTGAGAAAAGTTCAGTGTTGCAAGCTGTTTTATTCCTCTTCACATAGTCCTTGATTTCTTTGATTGAGCTGAGATTCGCCACGTACTTCTTGCTGAAATTGTTCCTCATGAGATTAAATCCATGAAACAGCTTCAGTTCTTCATCACTGTGACTCAGTTTCATCTCTGCTTCCTTTAGTGCAAAGTTGCGCAGCTCTTCACGAGAGAGTTTGTTTTTCAGGTTTAGGGGGCCGTCAGCCATGTTGGTGAGCTTTCTCTTTGCATTTAACAGGATGGCCACTGGGACATCTGCACTTATTCCTCTCTTAACAATTTCCATGTTTAAATTTTCCATTAAATTTCCTTCGCTGGAATTGTCATCTAGCAACAGTAGTGTTCTTTGGTCATTTGGACCCCCTTCTTCAAAGAGTTTGATGATGTGGTCTGCAATCACTGCTGTTTCAGTACTGACTGGCCCTATGGTGGCACATTTGAAGTCCTTCTTCAAATCCCAAAGAACCTGCATGGCCAGCGTAGAACCTCCACTTCCTGGATGGTGATAAAGTTTAATCCTGGAGACTGTACGTCTCCTTTCTTGTCATTTCAGAATTTGTTTTATAACATCACTGTAGCCATTCCTCCTCACTAAGGCTGTGTTTTGCTCCTCTGCAATATAATAGTTAATCCATTTGGGTGGAGATCCTTTGAAGAAATCTGACAAAGTCTGTTGGTGTTCTAGGTTTGTTAAATTTCTGTCAAGATTGTTCTGAATATCGTCCAAACGTACCAGGGGAGAACTAGCATTTCCACTGACTGGGCTCTCCGTGAACCCTCTAGGAACTAGTGTTATGCTATCCATCCTTGCTATGCCTAAAAAATAGATGCACTATGTTGTAGGTTTTTGGCCGATGGAGTGATTTTCTTCAAAAGCCATGCGAAGAAAGCATCTGTAAACAGATAATGAGAGATGTTAATACATAATGCAGCTGCTTTTTTTTATGGACGGCCATATTGCGACATTTATGAATCACTAAGATATCCAAAGTCATGTGAGTAATTGAGGGTATTTAGACCTGTATAGAGCTTGTATCATGACTCTCCCTGATAAAGCCTCAAGCGAAAACACAGAGATTTTTTTGTCCAGAGCCACATTGTAATAAAGGCTTTATAACAATGGAGAATTTCCACTTTTTTCTGTTTGAACCTCTAGCCATAGAGCACCTTCAGTATTGTTTATTTTCACTACCAGCACTACTGTCTATGGTTCCATTATTATGAACATTATTAATACTTCTACTTGAGTATGAGAGTTTAGGCTGCTCTACTCACCTCAATCGAGGGCTGAAACTCTCAGAAGCTGCTGCTCAGCATCACACGTCCCGGAAGAAAATGTAACCACACTTCTTCCTTCCTGCTATAAACCTCAACCGTTTTTCTGTGTCTCACGATGCATTTTCAAATGGCCCACATGAAAGCAGACACAACTTGCACATATTACTAGACACGCTATGGTCTCACAAAAACGTTGAAGTAAAAGATGGCAGCATTTTGGAGTTACCAAATCTTCAAAACTTCGATAAGACACCACCTTCGTGCCAGCAAACTATTCGGAGGGCATGCAAGAAGAAGGGCTTTTCAAACCATAACTGGTAAGCACCCAAAGTTCAGAAGACACTACTGTACCTTTGACTGGAATGGGATTCTATGGTCAGATGAGGCTGACAGTATTATGCTTTTTTTTTTTCCCATTCTTAACATCGCCTTTGGTATGTAGCTACAAAAGTGGGAAGAATGTTGCACTGCAGAATTTTGTGTTATGCCATTGGATATTACATAGGTTTTCATTTTACAGATCTTTTCAGATATAAAAGAATGAAATCCCAAACATTTCACAATGTGGTTGTTTTAAAAAAAACAAAAAACAAAACAAACAATAACAAAAAAGCGCACCTTTTCTTGACATATGCAGCATAGATCTAGAATACTTCTGCTTCCAGTACGAGAGCTTGGTATTTACTCATGCGCTTTCTGAAAATGAACTGCACCTGGGTTCTATTGGAAGTGATTCAAGACTGCTGTCTTCAGACCTCAATCAGCATTCTTTGTTTTGGACTCCATTTTAAGTGGTACCTCCTTAACTAAGATCAGACACTGGCCAATAATACAAATACAAATAAGAGCGTAGTGGTTGGCTGAATACAATACCAAATGCACACTTTAGAGTTACCATAAATGCTCAAAATTGCAATCCATGGCTGCTTCACATACACAACAAATCTCAAACACTATACATTATAGTATAACTGGAAAATCCATTGTGTGCATCTTTAGGCTAAAAACACAGTGGGTTGGTCTTACTACAAGATATTGAGATGATACATTTTCACGATATTGGCCTTATTTTGTCGTCACTTTGTTGTCATGTTCTAGTAAAATAAGTATAAATGTTGCCTGTTTATATTTCTGCTCAGTATTAATGATTTCTCATAATTCTTTCAGAATTTGTATACATTGCGGTTGGAACAAAACCACTAAATTCCACTAGAACTGTGCCTTTATAGCATATAGAAAAAAAAACATTCTTAACTAAGAATTAACTAATACATTCTAATATTCTTAAAGTAACAATATTTTTTCCAGGTACTTTTGGAGCATTTTTATTGGTTCATTCATCATGAAATTTTGACAGAATGCAAATGGCAACTGGAATTTTGAAATATCGGAAAAGTGAAAAAAAAAAAAGACAAAAATGATTTTCACATGGCAGTGATGATATGTAGATATCATTAAACCATGTGCCTACATCTTCATGCAACACAGAGGAATACTGGAAAAAGCTGCTTACCACACAAAATCACTGAACTGAAACAACTCAAATGCTGATTAATTGGCAAATTCTAACTTTTAAAACTCACCTTTGGCCAAATTGTCATCCGCGAGTGCAAATAAGTCTAGTTCTAAAGCAAAAACCCTCTTCACTGTGAATGACGATGAGAGTCTCACGTGGCTGCTGTGGAAACTGATAAAAAGGAAGCATGTACCCTTGTGGTTTCAAGTAAATGCCAACCACTTGACTTGATTTAGAGTTCTAAAGCCCTCACTTTGCCTATGAATATGCAAATGTCTGTGACAAGGTTATGCCTGTGTTAATCAGAAGATTTGCTATTAATTCCATAGACTTATTCTCAAAGAAGCTTTAAAGTTGATGCATATTTTATTATGTACCACAACACTGACATTAAGTTACTAATGACCTTTATTGCTTTAAAACAAAATAGCAAGATCTCAAGCCATTAGAAAAGATAGATTTTGACTGTAGCATAAAAGCCCACTGCAGCATCTGCTGGTGGGAGGTCTTTTATAGTTGCCCTGAGTGATTTTAACAAAGTGTAACTACTTTGCAATTCAACATTTTGAAAAGCTTGTAATTAATCCTTTTCCAGAACAATTCAAAAGGAGAGCTTTATTGAAAGCTGCACTTCTTCATTGCTGTTTCATCATGTTCATCATGTTCATGTGTGTATCATGTGTAATCCCACCCAGGCATTTTTCCCTTTACCTGTGTCTTGTCAGTATTTGTGCGCTGGATAGCTATGGGTCTCATTTTACTCTTTAGATGGTGGTGATGTGTTGTTAACATGATTTTATGTTTTCTTCCCAGTGTTCTGGTTTCCAGTTTTGTTTTCTAGTTTTGATGGTTTATGCTTTATGTTCCATGGATTCCCCACTGCCTCTTGATTTGCTTTTTAAACTCCTGTCACTGCACTTAAATAAACAAACAAACAAAAAAACAACAACAACAAATTATGTAATTTGGGTGCACAAACTTTTGCATCTAACTGTAATTGTAACAGCCCTGCGATGGACTGGTGGCCTGTCCAGGGTGTATCCTGCCTTCCACCCAATGACTGCTGTGATAGGCTCCAGCTATGTTTAGTTTAGTTCTTCTGTTCAGAAGTGGTTAGTGAGCCTTCTGTGGTGAGGACTCTTATTTTGAAGGACAGGCCTGTGTATATTGGATGCAATGCTTAAATAGCCTAGCAAGCCAGCAGAGTGAGCCTGGCCTGCTAACAGTAAAGGCTAGCCTAGGCTAGAGCACCATCCTTTCCCTGGATTTGTACGCCATTTCTGAGGCTATGGATCAAATCTTGGACCTGAGTTTGTTGGAGAGACCCCCTACACTACAATATAATAAACCCATCTGCGTTACCAGAAACCCGCAGCTCAATTTCACAAATAGCACTGCATAACATACAGCATAATACCTCAATTACAAGGCGAGGCAAGGCTCAAATGCCCAAAAAAAACATATACAAATAAACTGTTCAAAATTGACAGGTAAAAACCTTGTCAAGACTTCACAAAGACCACAAAACACAGAGCCTGTATCCAAAAACCCTGAAAGTTAGTACTTTGTCCTACCAGTCCTCCTCTCTGTGGCCTGCAAGTTGATTTCATGATGCCATCTTACCAGCTGTCTGAATTCCAGAGGACACAAGAGAAGCTGCCTCAAATAGCTGCCAAAGTGGCTTCTAATGTATGATGTACCAGTGCAGGCTAGCAAAGAAGTCTTTTACAGATTTTAAAGTGATGTCACTGCAGACACGACCAGACAGGACGAATATTCCTAGCAGCTGTAGCAGCTGTGATTGGATACAGGAGTATTAGGGGCGTGGTTTCAAGCGAACTTTCTGATAGGCTCCGTTCTTCAATAGTCAACATCAAATACGATGTTGAAAGGAATCAGCTGTCCCATTTCTCCCAGTTCTCTCCAACCCCCCTGCTTCTTTCCTTTCCACCATTCCTGCATGTTCTTCGGGGCAAGGAGAGGAGCAGTAGGAAGGGAAGGGGAGGACAGGAGCAGTAGTTTCTGGACGCAGCACGACTACTTATAAGATTCTAAAGGAGAGACTGCAATCAGGTGAGAGACGGAAAGTTAGTACTGGAGTGAGAGCGACCTCTGCAGCCGGGGAGGGGAATCTCCAGTCTGAGACGAGACATCAAGATAGAGTACCAGGGTCGAAAAGTTCAGCATCACACATCACACATTTGTAAGTGATGTTACCAGGTAATTTTACACATATTTCGTGATAATAATTAGAATTCTCTGCCTAGTTTCTCTCTCTCTGTATACATTATACTTCATCTTCTTAGGCCTGGGAAAGCTCTGCAACAAGATCAGGTTCGTTTTGTTGCAAACTTTGCAAAAAAACATCCTTCAGCGTTTGACCACCTGAAAGCAGTATATCATAGATGACCCTCATTTTGTCCTGGCTTGTTTTAGCTTCCTTGATTTTGGAATACTTCTCTTCCCTGATATTTGGGTAAAGGTCATCGGCTATGGGTTCCACCAGTTTCACTCTCTGAATCAGGCTCTTTCTGTGCAAGTCCACAAAATGAATACCTGTGCAGAAACAAGTAAAAAAGGATGTGGTAAAAAAAATATTCATCAGTTCAAGCTTAAAATGAATTCTTGTAGTAAGAAGTAATTTGAATCGTTTCATTAATAAAAATGGGTCAGCAAAGGTGAGGACATCTAATTTATTGCTACTACCTGCTTCACAGATTTTCAAATAAGTTATAAAGCTTTTAAAGAAAGGATGCAGTGATGTTTTTTTTTCAATCCTTTGACTATTTCATGCATCTGGTGTCTACAAGACTGTCTACAAACAAAAAACACACTGATGTGGAATGTCATAACTCAAGATTCCAGCCACCTGCACCAGCAAGCAAAGCTGTACATTTGAATTCAGAATCAGCAATATTTATCAAAAAATAAATATTTATTAAATATTTACTCCCCCATAATGATACTATTAAGATTGATCTTTACTTACCAACACAACTGAGATTTCGACTGTATTCAGCTGAAGATCACAAAAGAACAGGAATTGTGTTAATAATATTCACAATTACTTTACTGACTATAAGAGAACACTTTAATGGTGCTTTCATTTACCTGATCGTATGTCAGCTTCCCACACTGATTCCCCCTCCTCACTCATTAAAAACAACTGAAAGTCATCTTTCGCATCTTTAATGTATACCTCAAAAAAGTTTGGGGTTTGGCTGGTGTATCTCAGTTTTAACTTCTGCAAAGAAAAAACACAGAACGAAAATTACATTTACACATTTATGAATGAACACTAAATGAATGAGGTATTTTCCACAAAATAAGGCAGCTTCACAAAACGAATGCCTGTGCAACTATGTTTTTTGCACATCAATGGTTCCATATTCCATCAGACCAAGCCTAACTAAACTATGACCAAGTAAACAAGAAGGTTCAACTATCAAGGTCCAACTAAGGTCCACATGTGTTCGATGATTTATTAGTTGCCACAGATTGTGGAACTGTCTCTTTTCTGGTGCTAATAACAGCTTTCAATGCAATCAACCATGATGTTTTAATGGACATGCTCGAAAACAGTTAAGACAATCAAGTTCTTGCCGGGTTTAGATCTAACTCGCTAGACTGCTACCAAATTGTTAGTGTAAATGGAGGGTTTTCTGAACACAGAAGAGGTGGTGTGGTGTTCCACAAGGCTCTGTTTTAGGGCCCTTACTGTTCTCCATTTATTTTCTCTTTGGGACACACAATTCACAGACGGTGGTGTTGGATATCACTTTTATGCTTATGATACACAATGATAGGCATCAGTTAAACCTAATGCATTTGCACATTATGGATGACTGTATTAATGACATACAAGCATGGAAGTCAGGAACTTCTACCTGCTAAATTCTGATAAAAGTATTACTTGTGGGCCACTCAAAATAGGGTGAAGATTTTATCTGATCTTGAACCTCAATGGCTTTTCAGTAACACTTTACTGAAGGTCAAGTTTATACGACTACATGATGATTACAGAAACCTTTCATGCAGGTTTCAACTATGCTACATCAAGGTAGTTTTTCAATGAGTACTGGATGTTGTGTGTGGGAAAGCAATTTCTAAAAGCAACACCACCAAGAGAAAAAGGAAAGACGTGACTCCATGAAGCATTCGTTTGGACCAAGTGCTCATTTAACTTCGAGCCAAATAAAATAAAATAAAATAGACATAACTCATTTCAGTGTTTTGGCATTACCATTAGGATTCATAATGTTGTATTAACAGTGAAATGAAACTCACTTTACTAAAGGCTAAGAGAAAATATATATACCTCTGTCATTACAGTGTCGCAGCACTGCCATAGTGATTCGTAAATATCTTAGAAGAATAAATATGATACTTTACTTTGGGCCCAGAGATCATTTGTAAAGCTTGACATTTACCTGAGGTCTGATTCGGGAGGGGCAGGATGTGCTCAGCATGTAGTGATTCTTCATCTGCAGAGATGCATCTGGCCTTGGTTTTGGGATCTTTATGCTGCGGTTCTCCTGTTTCTGTACAGACTACAGAGAAAACATGTTAAATTACGGAGACAGCTGGGCATCACACAATGTAGCAGACCGTACAGATGTCAAGTTACCATCCTCACCTCTATTGTTTTTGAATCACACATTTTAATGGACAGGCTTGAGAACAGTTTAGACAGTCAAGTTCTTGCCTGGTTTTAATCTTAATTGACAGATTGCTACCAAATTGTTAGTGTAAATACAGGGTTTTCTGAACACAGAAGAGCACACTGTGGTGTTCCACCAGGCTCGGTTTTAGGGCCTTTACTGTTCTCCATTTATTTTCTCTCTAGGACTTACTGTACTAATGTCAAGTTACCAGTCTCACCTCTATTATTTTTGAATCACATGGAACCAGGTATACGTGAAGGGTCAGGTGAGCAGTCGAAGTGCAGTAGATCAACACTTCACAGTGGGCTTTCACAGGGAACCCACTTCTGACAAGGACACCTTTTGGGGAGAATGTGGGGTGGAGCAGTTTGGCGCTGAAGCAAGACAACTCGCATTTCTCTAAAGAGACTCCAGCATCTTCTACATGAAGAACTCTGACCTCATCACTCAAGGAAGGAAAAGAATCTGTAAAAAGGCACTTCAGTTATGAGAAAACCCCTTAAAATGGCACATGCTTTCTGGTAAATAACCTCTACAACTGATCCACTTTTGATGATATAATTTCCCTAATTTGAAGGATACTTTACCTAAACAGAGAAAGTGTGGTAGATGGACAGCAGTGAGCTCCCCTGAGATGATAGTAACGTCCAGTAATGGACCACAGGGCTGAAAATTGCACTTTTCCAGAAATTCACTAACATGATCCCAGTCACTCAAATGATATTCCATTTCAACTTCATCAGAGCTTTCCCAACAAAGACCAGTGACTCTGCACTCATATCTCCCTGGCGCAACAGAGATCCTGGAGAGTTAAGGAGATACGATGAACCATTAATATGGATTATTTCAAAAATATGTTAAAATGAAGGCAGTTTTTTGTCTCATAATTTCTCATCTTTTATTTATCATATCACTTGGCACTCATTTCAATCATGGTCTCTAGAAACACAGTCAACCACTACTTAAACATTTTCTCTCTTTTAAGGGAAGACAGGTGAATAGGGGAAGAAAAAAAACATATTTTAAACGATAGATAATCTTTGCCAGTTAATTATGGATAATCTAACCACTATTTTTGCATAGAGAGTAAAAAAGCAGATATACAAATGAGACAATCTACTTAAATATGCATGAATAATGTTAGAAAGAAGAATCTATACTTTGGACAATGTTAGAATTAAAATGTTTATTTTTTGTGTAAAACATTTTTGCAGGCTTTACAGAACATTGATTAAAACGCTACACAATGCTATTATCCGTAAAAATGCAGGGTGGTCTGGAGGATCCATAGGCAGGCTTCATTTTGACAGAAACAGTGGTATAAACACAGTCCAAAAGCAGAGTCAGGGCAGAGCTGAGAGTCAGAGGCCAAGAACGCATACAAAATAGCCAAGGCAGAGAAAACAAAGACAAAATCCAAGAAGTTGAAAAAGGCTAGCCAAGATTAAAAAAAAGTCTCAGGACTGCAGTGATGCACTAACAATGCTTCACAAAGAGTGGAGAGAGAGTGTGAGGGTATTTGTAGGGGAGATGATGAGTGGAGATCGAGGAACAAGTGTGTGAGAGTGACTGTTAGAAATCAGGAGATGATGACCTCTGGTGGGCAGTTTGGGAGTTGCACATGACATTATCAAACATTTTTTGTGTAGCATAAATCCAGCTATTAACAACATATTCGAAGATGCTTCTGTAATACCGTTCAGATGATGTTTGGGAATTAACAAGTAAAATTTCCTGAATGTTGGTCTTGTAGAAGCTGAGAGTTTTGGTTCTGATGGAGGAGGAAAACGGACTTTGAGGAGCACAATGGGCCCCAGAACCGCTTTATCACTCAGTGAGATCTCAGAAAACATGCACCATTTGTGTGAATGTTGTCAGTAGTACAAAGGAAACAGATACACCTGGATACTCTATTCTGATTCTACAGGCAAGTTTTTCTGGTGATGCATGACACGATGTGGTTGTGCCAAATGTGGGCGGAGCTAAGCCTTCATTAAAAGGTTATAACTAAACCTGCAGAATAAAATTACGTCTGTTGAGTTTTCACATTTTTATGATTACAGTTTGAGACGCAATTTAGATGCAATGTATCCAAAACCTCTCATACTTGTCTTGTATTTCATGCACACAACTTTGTGTTGGACCCTCACGTCTCTCATAAATGTGAAGATACACTGAAAAATTTGGAAACAACTTTATTGTATGTTTTTTTTCTTTTACATACTGACCTATAGGCTTCTCCCTAATGTTTTCAGAACAATACAAATATAGATTTTCAAACTGATTGTCATGTATGAATTTATGTCCAAAACAAAAGTAGTTTTCGTGTAGAATTTAGAGTTTAGATTTACATTTAGAGTTGGAATGTCATAATCAGTCTTCTCACTGAAAACTAATGTCATTAAAGCTCATTAAAGCATTTTACCCAGTCTGTTGCGTTGTGAGAAGGGAGGGCAGGGTCTACGTCGTCCTGTTTGATAGTAGGGCCAATATTTCTGACTGAAGTCAAATGAACTACTTAAAAGTTTTGACATCTTCATTATTATTTTAAATATAAATAAATAATAAAAAGCAAATCTGTTGTATAAGAAGATATGTCCAGACCTTTGGCTGATTAAAGCAGACAAATTCTAGCAGCATGCAGAACCCAAACACAAAAGTCTTGCTACGTCAGAGTCCTTGCAGACTGCACGGCAGATTCACAGTCTTGGGTAAAAGATTCAGATGCTGCACAGTCAATCAACAGGACTTTGTACTGATGTAGAATCTGCTAGAAGCTCTAGGTACAGGAAATGATGGCTCATTGGTAAGAATGACTGATGAGCAACCCACTAAGGCTACGTTCACACAGCAGGTAAAAGTGGCCAAAACCCGATCTTTTTCTTCAGATGTGTCATCTGTGTGGCAGTGTGAACAGCAAAAAACAGACTGAATTGAATTTTCAAATCCGATTTGAGACGCTTTCATATGTGCTACTGAAATCCGATCCGTGTCCGATCTGCAGCAATGCGACTCAGTCTGAACAGCCAGATCGGAACTCATGCGACTTTTACGTCAATCCAACTCGACATTCGTCATCATTTCACACTGTTGAGAACTCAAAAGTTTAGGCTGATGTTTCTGTACCAAAAAATTAAGAGCCATTTATTGCAACCGCTCCGTGTTCAAAGAGGTTTAGAAAGAAATGGCTGAACGCGGCCGGAGGAGAACGAGGCTGCAGCGTCAAAGAACAGTTAAAGGTCTGAAAGCAAAGTTTAAAGAATCAGAAAATTGTGAGCTTGAACCCATGCTGGGTGATGAGTCCAGCTGTCAGCCATCGGAACTTCATGATGGCTCCTGTGATGCTGGCGAAGATGAAACTAAAGCCTCCGGGAGCGACTGGCGTTCGTTGGCAGTCGTGATTGTTTACCTCTGGACAAGCGCAACACGTGAAGCTACGTGAAGCATTGTTATTTTGCGCATCCAGGTCAGTTTAGGAGCTGATCTGTTCAGACTGATGTCGCATACGGATTACATTTAAAAGATAATGTGAACAGCCGGACAGAAAATCCGATTTGAGCCACTTTTACCTGCTGTGTAAATGTGGCCTAAGTGACCACATCTTTTGTAGCATCTAAAGAACATAAAAAGTTAAATCACCTATAAAATAATGGCCTCATTCTTCTGTTTCAGTAATGGACTTAAATGCACTTGTTTCATGATTATTTAGAGTTAAGAAGACCAAAATATGTAATAGTACCTGTACTTCATGTCTTCATTTAGTAGAGTAGCCATAGCGACAGGTTCAATGAGCTTCCATTCTGTCTTGTCCTGGATAGCAGCCTGCTTAAGAAAACAAAAGAGAGAATAGCTTTCATTGACTTCTTAGAATGTTAGCCAATTATTGATGAATGCTTCTTAGTTTGTCTGTTTACCAAAAGAGAATAAATAATAATAATAATAATAATAATAATAGTAAGAAGAAGAAGAAGAAGAATTCATTTAATTCTGTGAATAATTTCAAAATTGAGACAAAACATTACACAAGATAACACGTTTCCTTTATTTCATCACAGAAAATAACCTGCTTTTGTTGGTGATTTTGGGATCATCCTTAGTAATGAATGTAAAAAACCTTGTTATGTCTTTTAAATTCGCAAACATATTAAATACTAAACTACTTTTCAATGAAATTTCCACCTTTCATCTATTTCAATTCCAGTCAGCAATTAAGTACAAGTTACACATTTTTCTATAGATGTTTCGAAAGAGATTGGATATAAAATAATCCACTTGAATACATACGTGGGAAAAAACGGGTTCTAAAATGAGTAAAAGCTACAGAGAAAACAGGCCTCTTTAAAAACCACCTGCAAAATCTGGTAGACCCCCAAACTGCCCCCATCAGATAAACAGCACTTAAAGCTTTCATCTTTGAGAGAGAGGAGAAAATCAAACTGTTTCACATCTGATGAAATCGCTGTTGTCGGAACAAAACTTTGTATCTCCAACTTAACTTTACAGGAGAAGGAAAAAACCTACTTCACTTTTAATGTAAGTCAATGGAACCAGACTTTTTTCCAAGGCATTCTGAGCCGTTTCTTTTGGTCCATTCATCATGAAAGTTACTCAAATGATGTCAAAAACTGAAAAACGACAAAAATGTAGATAAAATAATTCGTTCCGACAGCAGCGACACCCAAAGGCGTTTCTGTTCATCCGTCCACTGTGAGAAGACAACTCGGCGCTATGAACACTCAAAGAAAGGGTTCTTTGCATGATTAAAGGGTTTCTTGCATGGTGAAACGATGATGGAGAACGTTTTGGTACTAAGAATCCTTTTTGGAACGATACAGAACACTTCATCAATCTGAAGAACCACTTCATGCTTTTGCATGATTAAAGCGTTCTTTATAGCACCAAAAAGGGTTCTTCCACTGATACAAGCTTGACATCGTAACAATAGAAGAACCCTTCTTGGTGCTATCTATATAGAACCCTTTTCAAAAAGGTTCTGTATAGAACCATATACAACACATTCTCTGTCTATCTGAAGAACGCAGTTTTTTGAGTGTTCATGGTTCTATATAGAACCATTTTCCTTACTAAAGAACTCTTGAAGGGCCATCTTTTTAAGTGTGTATCATTTACTGAGTGTGTAACTCCAGTGAGATGTAGTCTAGAACCTTTATTTTAAAGTAATCAGGACATAAAAGATGTTAACATGAATTGTGAGTTTACCTTCACACTACAGCAGGACTTACAAACACTTCTTGACCCTAAAAAATAAAATGAGATAATTAAATTTAGGACATTTCTGTAAAAAACAGCCGGAGGCACAAATAGATATCCTTTACTGGTGTAACTCACTCCAGTCTGCACCGCTGCTCTGAGGGCTCGGTCTGGACGTCAGGCTCACTTTCTCTGACCACACTGAAACACATTGATTAGTTATACAGAAACATCCTTCACAAATAAAAAAAAATAACAATCAAATAAATTATGTTTTAAAAACTGATCTTAATGTGTAACGACACAATTGCAGTTTGGTACTTTTTGTATACTTCAAGTGTCTAAATTTTGAATTGTTTTCATTATTATTATTATTTTGACTCGATGCAGTACTGTGCAAAATCCCAGACCACCGTTCATTAATTTAATTATTAGTCAAAAACGCCATTAAGCACTTTAAGTACTAACAACATTAAGTACTAAGTTGTTCATTTTTCTGTCAGGGGAAAAAAACAGAAAACATACATTTAACAGAAAATTACACAAAAAAACCTGAACTAAATATAACATCATTTTTTCCTTATTCAGTGTGTCACACTTTACCTTCATTCCAGCTTCCATTCTTTTCAGGAGACTCACTTTCAGTTCATTTTCAAAGGAATCTGCAGACACGCCTCCAAAGTTCAGTCTGAGAAGTTGGTTGATCATTTTGTGAAGCAATCAAACCCATTCAGTGGTGTTGAGGTCTGGACTCTGGGGTGGTCAGTCCATCGTTCAGCTTCTTTGTTTGATGTGTCCGTCTCCTTTTCTCAGTGAGTTCTTCTTGATCAGCTACACATCCTTTCAGACCCACAGCGCTGAGTCGTCTTCTCACGGTGGAAGGATGGACAGAAACACCTGTGGATGTTTTCAGATCTGAAGCAGCTTGATTTTCTCCTCTCTCTCAAAGATGAAAGCTTAAAGTGCTGTTTATCTGATGGGGGCATTTTTGGTGTCTACCAGGTCTTCCAGGTGGTTGTTAGGAGTCCCACTTTCTCTGTAGCTTTTAATCAGTTTTTGAACTCCAGTTTTGGAAACTCCTGTTTGTTCCATTTATTTTGCTTTGACTTTCTCCTCCCTTACGCAAGTGGATTATCTTGTATCTAATCTACTAGAGATATCTCCTCAAAAATGGTGCTTCAAGGGTTCTTTAGTAAAGAAAATGGTTCTATATAGAACCATGAGCACTCAAAGAATGTTTTGCATGATTAAAGGGTTCTCTGCATCATGAGATGCTCCAACACTTTACTAAATAAGCTCCAACTGGTCCAGAATGCAGCTGCTTGAGTCCTTACAAGGACCAAAAAGTTTGACCATATATCCCCAGTCGTGTCGCCATTACACTGGCTACCTGTTAAATTTGGTGTAGAGTATAAAATCCTTCTCTTAATGTGTAAATCATTAAACGGCCCCACAGTATCTTAGTGAATTACTTCAGTCATATGAACCCACACGTACACTCCGCTCACAAAACAACGACCTGCTGACGGTTCATAGAATTAGAAAAACCACAGCAGGGGGTCGAGGATTTTCCTACATCGCCCCAAAATTGTGGAATCATCCTCCGACCTCTGTCCGGGACTCCGACACACTTTACATTTAAAACTAGACTCAAAACTTTTCTGTTTGCATGAGCATTTTGCTAATATCAGTTGTTGCACTATTAATTCACTAATATCTCAATTTCTCTCTCTCTCTCTCTCTCTCTCGCTCTCCCTCCCTTTATTTGAGCCCCTGAGTGACGTGTGCCTGAGTCGCCACATGTGAGCCACCAGAGCTGCTAGAGTCACCAGAGCGCCATCTCTGTTGGCTGATCTGCACCTCACCTGCATGAACTGACCCTCCTGATGATGCTGCTGCTGCATAAACTCAAACTATCTAATTAACCGTTGCTCCACCTGTTTTTCCCCGTTTTGTATTCTAATATTTTATTCTAACGCTGTTTGCTATCCGGTGTCGACCAGAGGAGGATGGGTTCCCCTTTTTAGTTATGGTTCCTCTCAAGGTTCCTTCCTCTTGCTCTTAGGGAGTTTTTCCTTGCCACCGTCGCCACTGGCGACGCTCATGGGGGCTCAAACCCGGATTTTTCTGTAAAGCTGCTTTGTGACAACACCTATATAAACAAACTTTGACTTGACTCGAAAGTAGTCTTCAGATTGATGGAAACTGTACTTGAATGGGTTCTTCTATCGTTACAAGCTTGACATCGCAACAATAAAAGAACACTTTTGGGTGCTATATAGAACCCTTTTCAAAAAGGTTCTATATAAAATCCTCTACAGCACAGCGTCCATCAACCTGAAGAACCCTGTCATGATGCAAATCATTCAAAAGGTTCTTTGAGTGTTCATGGTTCCAGATAGAGCCATTTTCTTTACTAAAGAACCCTTGAAGCACCATCTTTTTTTACTCAACGGCTGTTTTGACTGGTAATTAAATAAATGAAGGGTGCTCTCTGACTTGCACAGTGTTGTACATTCTGCTGTAACACAATCTGTTCGCCATATTTTCATTTATTACTATCATTACTATTATTGTTATCAGTATTTTACACATTCTCTTTTCTAATGTTTACATCTACCTTCCATGACAGATGATCATGGAACTGTAAGTGTTCATTTGCACATATGTGACTAGCAATAACTAGAAGAGGCTCTTCAAAAATGCCTCTTTTACCTTCATCACATGAAAACAAAAAAACATACCTATTGGCTGGACAGTGGACACCTCTGACTGTGTGAACACGTTCGTGATGGAACTCATTCCTGTTTCCAGCGTTTGGCAGAGCGATTTCCACATTCCGTCTTCATTACCGTACGGCTGCACTTCAAGCTCATCACATAGAAACTTCATCTTAACTCCAATGTCACTGGAAAGGAAGATAAGAGTTTAGTTGATTTGAATAACCTTTTTTTTTTTTAGCAGTCTAACAAAATTAGTAACCAAGGTTATATTACCTCATTCGTTGCCTGTCGTCTTCAAATTCCAAATACTTCAAATTTGCACCCTGCAAATGTACAGCCAGATCTGGACTGTCAGCTCCGTATTCATCTTTGTTAAGAACGAAAGAAGAAACAAAATTCTCTGAATCCATTTCAAGTATCGAATAACAGCTCATGTGCATCATTTTAATACTGTTAACCAGAGGCACCAACTTTGGTTAAGGGACGTTTAATTTGGGGGGGGGCATGAAACAAGCAGAATCGCGAGTGTATATATCTAAATTACGAATCATTCATTTCTCTTTTGCGGTCATAAACATTTATAATCATATTAAAAGTCATATAGTGACGGTGCAGCTCCACCACCCATATAGAGGTGAGACCACGCGTTCAACTGATATGTCAGATTCGGTTCAGATTTGGCAGGCAGCCAAATTCCATAAGATTTTGGTCTTAAGCTGGCTATTAGTGATGTGCCACCAAACATGCCACACTCTGTTGTGCCTTCTCTAACTGTATGTGCCTTAGTTTGCCAACCATCCCACACTAAGACGATTCGTTTTCATTTTCTACTGCAATCGAAGTATGCCAACTTTCTTGGTGGCTGCAATGACAAAACAGGCCAAAACAAAAGTATCCCGCAATTTTATAAGTTCCAAATGCAAGTTCAGACTGTTTATTCAGTTTCATATATTCAAACGAATTATACTGTAACTACTGTGGAATTGATACGTAATCAACAGAATTCGGAGAAGGAGGAATGGAAGAGGAGATTCTTCTTGTTTGACTTTAAGCCACAACTGACTGTAAGCCATTAAGTAATCTGGGGTAAAACTGATGTTGAAACTCCAGCCTCTGTAACAACTCTACTGTTTACCCCATTGGAACTGGAAATATCAAAGCAGGAAACCTTTCTTGGTGGCCGCAGTTTTATAGGTTCCACATGCAACTGCATTTTCAAACTAGCCCAATTTGGCAGGAACACTGAGAAACTGGGAACTCTGCACACAAGTGAAACACACACATAGAAATCCCTCCTGTTTACAACTTCAGTATTACTATACACTCTCAGAAATAAAGGTAGTGTACTGTCACAGTTGCAGTGCCCTTCTTGTCACTGGGGTGGTATCCTCAAGGGTACATCTCAGTACCTTTAGTCCGGGAACATAACAGCACCATAATCCACTGAAATGATATTTTCTCAGCTGTACTGACTCCACACACCCCGTCTCGCCTCATTTTACTGTTCTGTTTTAAAACATTCGATTATGAAAAGGTACAAATACAAACTTTTCACCTGAAAAATTTATTTAAGGTTCACAATCAGACCTTAAAACCTCTGTTGTACCTTTGAGGGAACATTTACATTGTTTGTACCTTGATGAACGAAAAATGTACCAGCACAGAACCTTTATCTCTAACAGTGTCGCATCAACTGTTATACGCGGTTTCATAACCATAACCACAACACTGAAGCAAGTGGAAGATGAACGAGTTGCTTCCCGGTACATCAGCTGTGACTGACTAACTCCAGAGGCTATCCAGTACAAATACTATCTAGCAAATACTCTGTTACAGTCTGAAGATGGCTTATATTATCTTCAGGCTTTTTATTCAACTACAGATATTCTAACTAATACAGTAACTACTATAAAATGAATATAATTAACATAGGAGAATGAGGAATTGAAGAGTAGACTCTTCTGGTTTCACTGTAAGCCATTAAGTAATCTGGGATAAAACTCATGTTGAAACAAGTAGTCTGTCACAAGTCTGTGTTTAAATGAAGAGATATTTAATGTGTTACATCATCAAAGTCAGTTTTTTGGAAATATGTGCTCATTCTGAAAGTGATATCATTGTCAAAGTGTTCAACCCAAACCTTTCTGAGCAAGAACGGATTTCGCCACTTTGCTGAAAAAAGAGGAAATCAGGAGTCCACACCCAAAGTCCTCGTTGCTGCTACGTGTGAGCCGTAGCCTGGACTTTTTTTCCTCTGTTCATAACCTCTAAAAATACCGCTGTCTTCATGCAGTTAATCAGACTTAAACATGAGCAATATAATAACGGAAAACTAGCGCGTACAAAAGGGAAAAAGATGTTTCCATAAAGAGCCATGCAGAAAAGTTACATGATGGTGGAAAAAAGTGGTCAAACGGCGCCATCTATGCTTCTGAATGTGAATGACAACTTGCTGTATAAAGAAAAGTTTTCTTTTTCCAATTCTGTGGTAGCAAACATTTTAACAAGGTTTAGATTTTCTACACTTTGGTTAAAAAGCTTTAGTCCCTTGCAACCAAAAGACAAAACTATGGATAAAGACATTTGACTAGAGAAAAGGAAAGTCACCCTAAGCCCACCCAATGTGGAAAAAACCAAGATATGTGTGTAGTATATCACTGTCCGAAGAAAACCTCGTATCTCCATTTTTGTCGTTTTTCAGTTTTTGACATAATTTGAAAAGGCCTGCTGTTCTTTACATTGTGTGTAAATTTCATGATGAATGGACCAAAAGAAATGACCCAAAATGACTTGGGAAAAACGTCTGGTTCCATTGACTTACATTAAAATAAAGTATTTTTTACCTTCTACTGTAAAGTTACCATTTTGGAGATACAAGGTTTTTTTCCCACAACAGGGAAAAACCTATCAAATTGCAATTTACCTTTTAAATCTTTGAGGCATTTCGATGAAAAAACTAATTTTGTAAAAACAGTTTTAAAAGCTTTTCTTTTTGGCCTGCCACAAAATTTGCAGTTTGCCCCCCAAGACAAAAGGTTGGTGCACCACTGGATTAGACTTACAATGTCATAATCATCATAAATTAAGCAATAAACATTCACTTTTTGGCCATATGTTTTATCAATCTGAAATCAATCTGATTTGTTCTTAGAGGACATACAGAGATTTAGCTCTGCGTTTGTATCGTGTAGGTCTATCAGTCTTCGTCTGTCAGAGCCAGAAGGCTATAAGCCAGTATTACCTCTAGGGCGTGTTTTAGCACATGGTTTGTGTTTACTTGGTTCATTCTGAGAAGGAAAACATCCTCCATGCACTCAGTGCACTCGCAACTCAGTTAAATCAGCCTAATAAAGCATTTACTTATGCACTGCATTGTGGAACGTTCACCAGTTCAGAATATTCCATTATACACTCACCATTTTCAATGGACTTGGCCATCTCTCTCCTTCTGACGTCCACAGGTCAGTGATTGGACTCAGATTCAGACGGATTCCACACTGGGAAAAGCCGAGAAGTTCAGCATATTCTGATGTGAGACTTAGAAGAAGAACAAAAACATGACATTTCAACAGGACGTTGTTTATAAGTTTTCAGTCCCGTCATTTTTTGTGTTTTTTCTTACTGTAGTTAACCTGTCTTGCCGTTGGCAGCTCAGCGTTCTGATGGCTGTACCTCCATAACGCAGTAACGCACTCCTGCAGGTAATGGTGCGTTTGTTAGTCCTGATTTTTGAATTCGGATGATGTCATTATTCACGCCAGATCCCCAGTATTACACTTCAGGGGTTTATTTTCTCTGGAGCCCCTGAGGTGACATGGCGACTATTTTTTAAATGATGCAGGGCCACACAATAATATACTGAGGCCACCAGTAAAGTTTCTTGTGGCCACAAATTAATATATTGAGGCCACAAGTTTCTCATAGCCATGGATTAATATATTGAGTCCACGTGGCCACAAGAAACTAAACTCACAGCCTAAATGTACTAATTTGTGGCCACAAGAAACTGAACTCATAGCCTCAATATGTAATTGATGGCCGCAAGAAACTTAACATGTGGCTTTGATGTTTTAATTTGTGGCCACAAGAAACTTGCAGCCTCAATATTTTAATTTGTGGCCACAAGAAATTTAACTCATAACCTCAATATATTAATTTGTGGCCACAAGAAACTTGTAGCCTTGACATATTAATTTGTGGCCACATGAAACTTAACTCATAGCCTAAATATATTAATTAGTGGCCACAAGAAACTTAATTCATAGCATCAATATATTAATTTGTGGCCATAAGAAACTTGTAGCTTTGATATATTAATTTGTAGCCACAAGAAACTTAACTCGGAGCCTAAATATATTAATTTATGGCCTCAAGAAACTTACCATGTAGCTTCTATATATCAATTTGTGGCCACAAGAAACTTCATTCATAGCCTTGATATATTAATTTGCGGCCAAACTGAACTCATAGCCTCGATATATTAACTTGTAGCCTCCATATGTTAACCTGTGGCCTCCATATGTTAACCTGTGGCCATGCCTTATTAATAAGTAATCACCATGCGACCTTAGGGGCTCTGTAATTTTATGATGCTAATTACTTCAAAGGTTGACAAATAAGTTGACTCAAACCAGGTTCTAACTGACCGGGCTGACCTGTGAAGAACTTTTTGCTAAATGAAATAAAAGCGTTTGTTTGCTTTGCCGGGTTATACTGGCGTTAAAATCTATGAAAACTTAATTTAGAGTTCGGTACATTTGATCAGTCTGTACAGCTCCATCCTGCTGAAACGTAAACCTTCACCGCAATGAACTTGACATAACCTGAAAAAACAAAGAGGCTCAAACCAACCAGGCTGACTTGTGTAATGTTTCACAGTCCTGCTTTTATGTGTCAGTCATTCACGGGGAAGTCCTTGCATCATAAAGTGAGAAATGGGGCTGTTTGACTGTGAAGTTTCATTTCATACACAAGCAGAATCAACAACCTTGCAAAGTCACTTGTTTAGGCATCAGCTGAATTGTGAAAGGATCCACAAAGCTGTTTTCTACAGCTCCGTTCCCATGACTATGCATAAATGGGGTGTTTCGGTTGGTCAGCCAAACATCGGCCCAGTAATTCCCATGTAAGGAGATGAAAGCAGGCTCAGATTTGTAAAGTGCTTTTGTCTGTCAGGCATTTATTGACCAGGTTTTGCACTTAATAGCTGAAGAATAGGTGGTTTTGATTTAGAACACCATTTCAGATCTGTACTCCAATAATCACGCAGCTTTAGTTGAGGACGTTTTCACAAACACAGCTGGCTGTATTTTACTGATTTACGCGTTAAGCGTAATGCTGGCCGAACAGCCATGCATATAACTTCAACACTAATCATATAAAGAGACGAAAGCAAGATCAAATCAACCCACCTGATTTACGTCCGTCGGTCATTTGTTGGTGAGGTTCTACATCAAAAAACAGGTTTTAACTTCAGAACACTGTTTTAGATCTATACACTGCTAAAACATGCACATTTGTGACAACTTTCAGAGTGCAGGGGTCTTCAAGGGTTCTTTAGTGAAGGGAATGGTTCTATTTATGCTCTATTCATGCTTAAACATGTTCTCTTTAGAGTCTTTTTTAAAAAATGGTTCTATATAGCACCAGATATGTATCCAGCTCGACACAACGTCAAGCTTATAACAACAGAAGAACCAACACATTCAACACAATCTGAAGAACGAATTCACCATGCAGAGAACCATGATTCTGAATAAAACTCAAGGTTCTAATAGAACCACTGCCTTTACTAAAGAACCCTTGAAGAACTGTCTTTTTAAGTGTGTACTTAAGTGATTCATATGGCACTATTTCCACGGCAGTGCATAGAACCTTTAAGGCTGATTGTGTAGAGAGATGACAGCAGATCAAGGGTTCTTTATAGCACCAATGTACTGTGTGGCACTACACTATTAAAAAAGATGGTTCTATATGGAACCATGAACACTCAACAAAGCTTTTGCTTGATTAAAGGGTTCTTTATAGCACCAGTGTACTGTGTGGCTTTACATTCTTTACAAAGATGGTTCTTCAGGGTTCTTTAGTTAACACAAATGTTCTCTATAGAAGCATGAACAATCAACAAAGCTTTCGCTTGATTAAAGGGTTCTATACAGCACCAGCATACTGTGTGGCACTACACTATTAAAAAAAGATGGTTCTTCAGGGTTCTTTAGTTAAAAAAACAGTTCTATATAGAACCATGAACACACAACAAAGCTTTTGCTTGACTAAAGTGTTTTTTATAGCACCAGCATAGTGTGTGACACTACACTAGTACAAAAAAGGTGGTTCTTCAGGGTTCTTTAGTAAACAAAAAGGTTGTATGAAGAAAGATAAACACTCAACAAAGCTTTTGCTTGATTAAAAGGTTCTTTATGGCACCAACATAGTGTGTGGCACTACACTCTTAAAAGAGATGGTTCTTTAGGATTCTTTAGTTTAAAAAATGGTTCTATCTAGAACCATGAACACTCAAAGAAGCTTTTGCATGATTAAAGAGTTCAGCAGTAGAGAAATGACAGCAGATCAAATCAGCTGTATTTGTGTCCGTCAGTCCTTCATTGAGAAGCGTTTGCACCATAAAGCTGAATAGGAGGCTTTTTGGACTTCGGACACTGTTTCAGTTGGGTGCGTCTCAAAACCTGGTGAGCTCTCTAAGGGTGTGTCTCAAAACCTGGTGCGTCTCAAAACCTAGTGAGCTCTCTAAGGGTGCGTCCCAAAACCTGGTGTGTCTCAAAACCTAATGAGCTCTCTAAGGGTGCGTCCCAAAACCTGGTGTGTCTCAAAACCTAGTGAGCTCTCTAAGGGTGCGTCCCAAAACCTGGTGTGTCTCAAAACCTGGTGAGCTCTCTAAGGGTGCGCCTCAAAACCTGGTGTGTCTCAAACCCTGGTGAGCGCTCTAAGGGTGCGTCCCAAAACCTAGTGAGTTCTCTAAGGGTGCGTCCCAAAACCTGGTGTGTCTCAAAACCTAGTGAGCTCTCTAAGTAGCCACTGTCTACACAGGCAGCTGTCTAGGTAGGCAGCGTTCCAACCGTCATCTATCCTTCTAAGACAGATAATGAGACGCTCTAGTTAGACAGCAGTGACGTCGCCGCTTGTTCCCGCCCACTGCACGCGACCGGCGTTTACTTACCTCAGCCGTCAGAATCACATTTAGCCAACGTGGATCTGCTCTGGCAGTTTATATGGCGATTTTAACTGTATTTGCTCTGAATGAAACAGCAAAATGGACAATAGTTGTGGTCAAACGCGGAAAGTATAGGCTATCTGTGCACCTTTATGATTAGAAAACAGATAAATACCCCAGAAAATCAGAACAACTTACATTTGAAGATGACGTCGCTGCTTGGTGAAGCGCTTCTGCCCGCCATCTTCAAACTAAAGCTGCCCCGTGCTGCATCGCGGGATCGCCTCGGCGGCTGAGGAACCGTCCGATGCTCTCTCGATATTGGGCCAAAATGAGACCTCAGTAGGCAGCATATTTGAGATATCTAAGAATTGGGACAGCCTTCTTGTCGGGAGCGCGCATATTGTGACGTAAAATGCTGTCTATGTAGAGAGCTCGCTAGGTTTTGAGACACACCCCATATACACCTCCAGTGACCACGTACATCCACGTTCACCTGGACAGCGACCAGTCATACCGAGCACCGCCTCAGAGATTTCACAGAGCCAATCAAACATTTTGATTGATTGTCATGTCAACTGTATCGAGAATAAACTGCCAAAGCAACAAACGCCTTTATTTCAGCTACTGTCGTTTTCTTACTCGCGGTCTAAACGGGACACTGACAGACAAAAGCAGACAGATTTTTTTTTTAACAGGTCAGCCTGGTCAGTGGGGTTTCATTCATCCGAGTGGCCAACATTCACAGCTGTAAGCTTCAGAAAATAAATAATGCACAAAAATATTGGCTTAAAATCATTATTCCGGCGTAAAGAATGACGTCATCCGGATTCACAGCTCACACGCAGCACCGTTTGGAGCTAAAGCCGTTATCGAGCTCTGAATCGCTGCAGTGATTCATCATTCTAAAACGTCCATCATTTGCTCCCAGAATCCAATCGTGCACTCAGACTCCCACCGTGGAGAAGCTAGAACTGCTACGTTACCTTCCACCAACGAGGAGGCTCGGCGGCTCCACCTGAAGACCCCGGCGAGTCGACTCCTCAACGAATCGTTCTTATGAGTCGATTCTTTACGTCCAGCTCGTCGAGCGGATTCAGATCAAATGAATAGCACAGATTGATTCAAGACTTCGAGCAACAGCCTTGTACAGTTTGACCTGAGATGGTGGGATACAGTAGCCCACCACGCTGATTAAGCTGCTCCTATCTCTGCGGGCTCCAGCTTTCACTTCCCGTTCTGTGTTTGCGCCTTTATTGCATCTGGACGGAGCATCAACTCGTGAACTTCCGAGTTTACCACATGGGAGCTGACCTCGAACTGCTGACCAGGTCAGATAAGTTTTCTTTTGAGGAGAACATAAAATCTCACAAACGTACAACCAACATCAGAACAAGACTTGGAACCAGTCACTGATTCATTCACTAACTCGTCCATCCATCCATCTAGAGGTGGGCAATACGGCAAAAACTGTAATATCGCGATACCTCGAGAAATTTTCAGGATAGACAAAAATCTGATTAGTATTTTTAAAAATACTATCAAAAACTACGGGTATCTTGATTTTTATTCAATATTTGGCATACTGTGTGGCACTAGACTTTTATGATTAAAGGGTTCTTTGTAGCACCAGCGTGCTGTGTGGCACGACACTCTTAAAAAAGATGGTTCCTCATGGTTCTTTAGTAAAAAAGATGGTTCTATCTAGAACCATGAACACTCAACAACGCTTTTGCTTGATTAAATGGTTCTTTATAGCACCAGCATACTTTGTGGCACTACACTGTTAAAAATGGTTCTTCAGGGTTCTTTAGTAAAAAAAATGGTTCTATCTAGAACCATGAACACTCAAAGAAGCTTTTGCATGATTAAAATGTTCTTTAAAGCACCAGCATACTGTGTGGCACTATACTGTTAAAATGGTTCTTCAGGGTTCTTCAGTAAAAAAAATGGTTCTATCTAGAACCATGAACACTCAAGGAAGCTTTCGCATGATTGAAGTGTTCTTTATAGCACCAGCATACTGTGGGAAACTACACTATTTAAATATGGCTCTTCAGGGTTCTTTACATAGCCATGAACATTCAAAAGACGCCTTTGCATGATTAAAGGGTTCTTTCCAGCACCAGCATACTGTGTGGCACCACATTCTTAAAAAAGATGGTTCTATGGGGTTCTTTAGAAAGGTTCTGTAGAACCATGAACATTCAAAGATGTTTTTGCATGATTAAAGGGTTCTTTCCAGCACCGGCATACTGTGTGGCACTACACTCTTAAAAAAGATCGTTCTTCGGGGTTCTTTAGAAAGGTTCTATATAGAACCATGACCACTCAAAGAAGCTTTTGCAAGATTAAAGGGTTCTTTATAGTGCCAGCATACTGTGTGGCACTACACTCTTAAAAAGGATGGTTCTTTAGGATTCTTCAGTAAAACAAAAAGGTTCTGTATAAAACCATGAACACTCAAAGAAGCTTTTGCATGATTAAAGGGTTCTTTATAGCACCAAAAACGGTTCTTCTACTGTTACAAGCCTGACATTGGAACAACAGAATAGCCCTTTTTGGTGCTATATAGAAACCAAAAAGCTTCTATATAGCACCATATGTAACATTCTCCATCAATCTGAAGAACCTTTTATTCATGCTGAACGTTCTTTGAGTGTTCATAAAATATATATATAATGATTTTCTTTACTAAAGAACCCTTGAAGAACCATAATTTGGGTGTAGATCCAGTTAAACAGGACTAATTTTACTCTCCTTATAAAGAAACATGCAGCTGGTCAGTGTCTAGAACTACTGACGACGTCCACGACGTGGTCAGAAAAGCATTTTGAACTGTACTGTGACATCATTGATCTCAATAAAGATTATCATCATATTGTCCAGCCCCAAATCCATCATCCTTTCCTTCCTAAATAATCATGAATGATAACTAAGTGAAATCAATGTCTGCATAATTCATATGCTGAGATGTAAGCAGAGCCCTTCAGAGTGGTTTGGTGTGAAATGCTGTATTGTGGAGAAGCTTACAGACTCAGATCTCTTTACAGTGGTGGTGATGGGAACCAGGCGTCGCCATGACTACAACACAGATATAGGCATTTTATTTACTATCTAAACAACCAGTGAGCCTATATGTGTCGTCTGAGTTTTCTATGGAATGTTGATGATGGAAAATAGTGGAAAATAGTGGAAAATCTGGAAAAAGCGGTTTTCTTTGGGGACCATTTTGCCTCCCAACACCCTGCATTGAAAAATACACTGTAGCCCAAAAGCTCATGTCAAAACTATGGAAAAACTGGCAGTGAATTCATAACCATTTCATGTAGTAACTTTCTGTGAGGGAGCTTTTAGAGGTGGACGTCTGGTTCCTATCACCACCACTACTGACTTAGTTTCTCTAGAACGGAGCATTTCACACCAAACCACTCTGAACGACTCTTCTTAACCATTTAATTAGGGGTAGCTTTTAAAAAATTGGTGGAATTCCTCTTTAAGGCCATAAGCCCATCATAACAATGTAAAAATGAGCGAGGCAGCAAATAAACCACATACACATGCAAAACAGTCCACAAAGAAAACGTATTTTTTCACTATTTTGCCAATAATTCCATATAAAAGCTCCACACTAACACAGAGGTTCGCTGGTGGTTTTGGATAGTAAACGATAGGGCTGTATTTCTGATGATGACATCATGACCCCTGGTTCCCATCACTACCACTGTAAGGACATCTGGATAATTTACATCAAACAGAACGTGTCACAGTGTGGTATAACATGGTGAGAGAGGACAATGTACACATAGAACTGACAGCTGGTGCACAGGCTCACTCGGCTCGCGCTCTTTCTAGATGAACTTTATGCAAATGAACTGAGTGGTGACCAATCAGATTGGTGATATGTGGTGCGGTGACTGACAGGGTCACGTCCACAGTCATGCGCTGAGATTCAACACTGGAATGCACAGTAAGCAGTTAATATGTCCAAAACATGGGACATTAAACCAGAGGCAGTTTAAGGGGAGCCTGTCCACTTCCTGTTTCTACCGTTATATCAAACACATGACTGTGAAGCGAGCGAGTCCTCAGTGAATGGAGGCGAACGGAGCTAAACGGCTAAAACGAAACGTTAAAATAGTTTCTAACCACTTATTCAGGACCTTCCTTTCATTTTAACTAAAAAACCAAACAGAGTGCCAACTGGTTGGCATTATTGCTACTGAATGCTGATTGGTTAGCATTACTGCTTCCAGGTGCTGATTGGTCGGCATTATTGTTACCGAGTGCCAATTGGTTGACATTACTGCTACTGTGTGCTGATTGGTTGGCAATACTGCTATCAAGCATTGACTGATTAGCAGTACGTCTACTGAGCACTGTTTGGTTAGCAATACTGCTACTGACTGCTGACTGGTTAGCAATACTGCTACTGATTGCTGGCTGGTTAGCATTACTGGTGCTGAGTGCTGATTGGTTAGCATTACTGCTACCGAGCACTTATTGGTTGGCATTACTGCTACTGAGTGCTGATTGGTTAGCTTTACTGTAACAAGTGCTGATTGGTCAGCATTACTGTTGCCAAGTGCTGATTGGTTGGCATTACTGCTACCGATTCACTCACTGACGTCAAGATCATAAGGTGCTGTTATAAAGTCCTAAAACTGGAGTTCAACAGTGCTTAAAAATATAACAGCGGTGTTAAAATGTTTTATGCTGTTCTGTGTTCAGGACATGAATGTATTATTTTATGTTTAAGTGTATTTAATGTTTAAGCATTTATAAACTATGATTTTGATCAAATGCTCCATATTAACCCATTCATTTTGGACTTGCTTGGGAGCGCCCTCTAGTGTTTGAGACAAACCCTGGCGACATTACAGAGTGGCATTTCTCCTCACTACAAATTATTTGCTTATACAATATTTTGACTTTTTAAAGTTTAATAATATAATTAATAAATTATATAAGGCTGCTAAAATTGCCTGAGTTTTGGTGAAGCAGCCGACAGCCGGTGAAGGAAGTGACTTGGCTTTGTGTTGAAAACGCAAGCTTGACTTCAACAGTGCAGGGATATAAATATAAACAAGTAAATCGATAAATACATAAAGTTCTTAAACATTCCTGAAATCTGCACCCCAACTTCCTGTGTCCCGAATGCCAACCGAGCACCTCTTCAAGACTGGATATGGTATTTGAGGATCTGAAAAGTAATTTAAAGCTGCACTATGTAAGACTGATTTGATAAAATTGAGAAAAGTAGCACTGCTCAGATGCCCTCTCGCCCTGTAACCTGAAATAATCATTTAAAAGACAGAAGCGGTGGGTCGGAGTTTGTGGGTGTTTTTAGACCACCTCATACGTGTTTATGTATTAACGTCACGAAGGTCGATATTCAGGTCTCAAATGCATAATCGACATTATACTAATGAAGATATGATGTCAACAGTAGATAATTCACTCACATTCTCAGGAAGACACGTCCTTCACCAAGTTCGGGGTCCGAAGCACAACCCGTGTTATAAATTGTTCTTCCCTTCTTTGCCTGCGATTACACATTCCCACAGTTCCGCTTTTACTCTGAAGAATGCAAACGTAATGGGGGACGCGTCCCGGGATGGAACCAAACCCAGGTTTTCTAGTACAGGAGGCCAGAGTTAACTGGGCAGGCCACCCACCAGGAGCAAGGAATGAATCCAAAACACTGTCCTGAAGACAAGTGTCTACGGAATGTGTTTTCATTATCCATATACAGTTACGTGAATGGAAATGCTGCGTGCTGACTGTCAGGTGAGAAGGTAAACAAGGAAATGAAAGATGGAGTGCAAAGCTTCAAGAAGCCAAGACACAATTCAGGAGCAGGTCAGCTCAACCCTGAGCATGGATGGAGCTTAAGCAGGCCGGTCACAGGTGATGCTGGTTGCCCTGATTGCTAGGGAGGAGCTCTTTGCCTCCCTCTGCTGGCTGCAGTTGGTCTTGCAGATGGCCCAGCTCAAGGCTGGGCTGTTACAGTAAATTGTTCTGACACTTTTTATTATGTATAGTGCAGTGCAACAGTTCTAATTTGTACAAGTTATTAATTTTCCAAAAACAGAAAATTACACAAAGCCTGAAGAACTAAATATAAACTACTAAATATCAATTGTTTCAGTAGGGGTGTTTACTGAGGTTGTTTATGGACTAGTATCTCCTTTTCTAATGTATAGGGGTGTTTATGTATTTATACCCCCTATTCTAATGTATTGGAATGTTTACTGAGGTTGCTTACGGACTAATGATATTTTGATAAGTGACATTTTCTAAGCTGTACTGACTCCACACACCCCGTCTCGTCTCCACGCTTTTTATTTTACTGTTCTGTTTTAAAACATTAGGATATGAAAAGGTACAAATATGTATTTTTCACCTGGGATAAACTTATTTAGGGTTCACAATTGGACCTTAAAACCAATGTTGTACCTTTGAGGGCACATTTACATTGTTTGTACCTTGATGAACAAAAAATGTACCTGTACAGAACCTTTATTTCTAAGTGTAGGAGTGTTTATTAGGTGACTTATGGACTAATATCTCATTCCAGTGTACAGGAATGTTCACTGAGGTTGTTTATGGATTAATATCCATGCTAGGTCAGTGATAGCTGTGGAGAAAGCTATGAAAACGGACTCTAGTGGTGTTTTTTGTGGGGGGGCGGGGTTCGAGGAGGGGAGCAAAGGGGCGTTTAAAAATCTTTATTCTATAATCCCACATAATTATTCTTCATGAAGCAGCCAATATTTTCTATTTAAAAAAACGTGGTGAAAATTGTTCTACTGTTATGTCTAAAAGACAGCAAGGAGAACCAAGACGGCTAAACTATATATATATTCTTGCTAAGTTCTCTTTAAAATTCAGTATCCTCAATAATATTTACTGTATGTGAGTGTAGCAGTTTGTTTATGCACCTCGAGATTATGAGCATGACAGGCTTACATGACCGTAACTCGCTTTGACTCTCAGCACACGACCTTTACCTCCAGCAACGGACTTGAAAATGACTTTCCACACCTGTGACGTTAAAAAGAATAAAAAAAAAAAACAAAAAAACACATTTTTAGGTTAGCAAATATATTTTAATATATAATATAATATTTATACTCATTTCAGCACAATGACATAATGGCATCATTTCAGTTTAGTCTAATTTACTCCATCATAAATTTAATGTACATATTTCAATACCACGTCTTAATTGTGTCATTGCAATAATGCTGTCATTGCAAAACAGCTATCCAATTTTCCCTTGAAAGAAAAAAAAAAAATCTAACAGCCTACAGCCCATGAGGAGTTGAGGGGGTTCGCTGTCAGGGGGACAAAGAGAGGGTAGGAGGGAGAAAGAAGAGAGTTCTTGGTGTGTCTCGATTTGGTGCATGTCTCAATGGGCCTCGTAAGCAACATCAGCAAAACTGATCAAGGTTACGCGCAACAACTGCAGCGTTTGGCAAACTATTCCACTGTTCTAGCCGTTTTAACTTAGTGTCCTTTTCTAACGAGGCACGATTAGATGTTTAGCGATGTTGTGGACCACTTATATAGGTGGGTAGATCTTCTGCGCTGTTGTGGCCTAAATTTGACTTGATCTATAGAGGTTTTACACGACTGCAGCAAAAAGGTTGTTTAACTGTTACCGTTACTCATATATTTGTCCTCACCAGTTCACTTGCCATGCCAAACAAAACTACACAACAAGACAGAACCTTTCAGGAAAACATCACAGAACCACTGACTGTTCATAGCATCACTCTTCAAAGTAAAGGTGTCAAAAAGGGTTCTTTGGAGCAAAGCCATAGAAGAACCCCTAAAAAACCTTACAATGGAAGGTTCTTCAAAAAGCTCAACTGAAACCAATTGATTGGAAGGTTCTTTAAGGTAGTGGTCCTCAGGGACCCCCAAATGATCCACATTTTGATTCTATTCCTATGTAACATGTGTTGGATTGGAACAAAAATGAGGGTTCTCTGAAGACTGGTTTGAAAACCATTGGGACAAAGCCATAGAAGAACCCCTAAAGAACCTTTCAATGGAAGGTTTTTCAAAAAGCTCAAGTCAAACCACTCATTTGAAAGGTTCTTTAAGGTTGTGGTCCTCAGGGACCCCTCAAATGATCCACATTTTGATTCTATTTCTATGTAATATGTGTTGGATTGGAGCAAAAATGGGGGTTCCCTGAAGACTGGTTTGAAAACCACTGGGGCAAAGCCATAGAAGAACCCCTAAAGAACCTTTCAATGGAAGGTTCTTCAAAAAGCTCAAGTCAAACCACTCATTTGAAAGGTTCTTTAAGGTAGTGGCCCTCAGGGACCCCCAAATTGTCCACATTTTGGTTCTATTTCTATGTAATTTATGTTGGATTGGAGCACAAATGGGGGTTCCCTGAAGACTGGTTTACGAACCATTGGGAAAAAAAAGTGGCGCTGCTCCAAAGATGGCATTTTTTACAGCGTGTCAATGTCCAGTCAGCTACATTTTCGTGTCCACTCTCAAACTGCACATCTACTCTAGCCCACTTCATGATGGGGATGTCTAGACTGTAGCAATATCACCTTCGATACAAAGCTATACTGCTAACTACAAGCACAAACATTGTGGCACTCCAGCCTACCCAGAGCTACAAGCCTTCATTTAGTATATACTGCATTTGTAGTATGATGGTTTGTGGATAGCACTGATAACAGATTAGTACTTCAAGCATTTCCCCCCAGCCTTAAAGCAGACTAATTATGTTGGCACTATATATCAAGGCATGAGAGCGTAATTTAGTACTTAATGTAAACTTTATGGGCCGGTTTCCCAGACAAGGATTAAGCCTAGTCTTGCAGTGCAGTGGAGTCAAGGCTTAGTCTTAATCTGGGCCTAGGAAACTGGCCATATTTGTCATACTTGACTTTTCTCTACAGCTGATCAGCCTTTATAACATTGTAACACCAATAATACATTTAATAATTGTAGTTTTCCCTGCTACTCACGCCAACACATGCTAAATCCAAACATCTCCTCAGAAGATGTTAACTAGGTCGTCTAATCCGTCAGCATATCCATCTTAACAATTTCTCAACTATCAAACATTCTACATAAACCTTTCAAACCGTGTTTACACATTCAAACCCAAACGTCATTTCTACTGTACCCACCCAAAACACAACCTCACCTACATTCAGAACTTTATCTACGTCGCTTTTGTGATGTAAAAGTTATAAACTGGTTTTTAAAAGTGCCCTGAACCCAGTCTGTACTGCAGGATTGGTGCTCCAAGGCCTCTTTTGAATGTTTACCCTGTTAGCAATGGCACTGCCCATTTTAAGCCATATCATTATCACAGAATTTGCTGAAACAGTAAAAATAAAACAAACAAACAAAAAAAAATAGCTCCTTAAAGGTTTTCTTGCTTTACAGCCAGTGGCCTCAGAAACGTTTCACTACACAATATGTCAAGCAAAAACATGTTCAGATGCAAAGTACTACTGTGTAATGCAAACAAGCATTGTTAGAAAGAGAACAACCAACTACAAATGATTTACATCGGTTAAAGGGGCACACCGGCCTGAAATTAGCATCTTATTCACCATGTTCTGCAGTATTCTGGAGTGCAGCGTTGCGTCCCTCAGTCTTATGCGTTTGACAGAATTCAACTGTTTATGTTTGCATTCATCAATGTTCTCTCAATACCCAGCATGCTTAGCAAAAAAAACATCACTGGGAAACCTTCATGAGGCTAAAGACATCCCCTGATGTAAAGGCTAATAAATACAGATGTGCTATTCAGCTTTCTAGCAGTAATGTCAGCTATCTGGCTTCCTTCTGCATTAGCCAGCGGAAAAAAGCAGCCATGCATCAAGTATCCACCCCAAGGTATTTGTAGTTTTTTCAAAAGTTCCTACCACCTTCAAGATACGTCATCAGAAGGTGCCTTTTTCTAATCTTTTAACCGGAAAGTCTCACTCTGGAGGCCATTGTGAACCACTGTAAGATGCGAGAAGGCTTATTTACAGCAGACATAGCGACGGGTTAAACTGTTAATTTAGTCCGGAGTGCCCCTTTAAATAAAAAAAGCCAGTTTTATGTTGGCTTGAAGGTTTTCAAATCAGAAATCTGATAAACCAAAACACGAACTACAAATATCTTCTGATGCTAGCGTGAAAGCTGGAAGAATGGAAGAAATAAAAGGTGAAAAAAAAGGACAGAAATGAATAAATACAGATCTTCATGTCTTACGTTTTGCAGGTAAACGACAGAAATCAACACTCTTATAAAGCAATGAGAAAATAAAAAAAACAAAAACAAAAAAAATCGTTGAATTAGATAAAGAGTTTCAAAATAGAAAATATTATTGGCAGCTAGCAAAAGGATCCTGAGCCCAGACCCCAAAAGAAAAACAACATTTTTTTTTTTTTTATCTTTTCTGGTGAAATAACACCAAAATCAGGCCCATGACACTTGTTTTTACAATTGTTAAGTCACGCTTTCCCAAATTGTTCCAGTTAGTAAATATATTTCAGTACACAAAAACAAAATACATTTGCATTAAATAAATAAATCAATAATAAAACACACCGCTATAAATTCACAATATATATTTACAACGTACTTATAGGAGAAAATATCAGTCAGAATCAGGAAAAAAAAAAACTACTTCATAAATTGAAATAACAGAGTTTTTTTTTTTAGGTTTGAACACGGTTAGTTCTTTGTGTCGTAAGACTTTTTTTTTTCTGTAATACTAAAGCTAAGATCAAACAAGTTATGGCCAATAACGACTCATCTTTAGCGCTATATCGTTTTTGCAGCATTGTTAAAGTTGATATGTTCTTAATATCATGACATCCAATTTGACGATATGACGTTTTTTACGCGTCTACGGCTTCACACGGAGTTTAAGACAGCGGCCTATTACCGATCATACATTGCAAATGTCAAAAAAGTCTCATGCTGTTTTGGATTACTGGTCAGTTATTTGGCTGGACACAATTACAGAGTTCTCTAATGACTTGCATGTGGAGTTACAATGACCAAGACCAATGCCAGCAACATATGTAACATATATGCACAGTGCCTTTGCTGCTGGATAGGATCTGCATAGAGCTCGGGGAATTTTTTAAAGAAGTGCCCATGGACCAGAAAGAGGACAGTTATGTTAGAATGTAGACACAGCATAGCAGGAACGCAAATATTACCCCTATGTGGAGTCATCATGCCTAGGAAAGGAGCCGGTCCTAAAAACATTTCATCACTTCTCTCAGCCTCGCCCCTTATTACTCTAACCAATCAAATTCCATGGAAAAGAGTGATTGACAGCTTGGCACATGCATCCCCCAGAACCACTGTGCCATGTATTTAAACACTTTACAGCCCACTGATGAGAAATTTCATTCGCATTTAAACATAAAGGTGCCAGAAAGGTTTTTTGAGGTTATGCTATTGAGGAACAAACTTCAGTGGCAGATTCTTTAAAAGAATATTCCAGCAATCTCTATCTACCGCATCTGTAGTGTCCAGTCATTTGGGTCATTCTAACATTGCGGTCACTTTGAAGCCATAATAATGCGCTTAAACTAAACCACAGAACATTGAAGTCAGCGTGTCGTTTGTTCTATTCCCAAATTATCCAACAAAAACTATGATGACTCTTCTTTCTGATTTTTATTTGAGTAATTTTTACTTATACTGTGCAGTAAAATCAGCAGTGACTTCACAGATGTGAAAGTATTTCTACGTGAAACAATGTATTCAATCATTGTTGCAGGTTAAACTTAGTTTAAATATATAATGTCATTGTATTCTGATAAAATAATTGCTGACGATTAAATTTCTGATGAATTTGGGTTAAGCTACTGACAGCTTCAGGTGCCTCAGAAAGACTATGTCAGTGGTGTTACTCAAGAAGCATTAGGTGATTCTTAAAATTAAAATTAAGATTTTAGGAAAGCTATTTTTGTCGGCGGTGTTATGGTCACTTGCCACTCCGGTCATTACATCATTCGTACTGCCACTGCGATGGTAGAATGGCATCAGGCGTGTTCGCAATTCTTAAGCGTCTACATTATTCTGGTAAATGACAGCAACCAAAGTGGTTCTATGGCAGGGTTGCCTTTTTTGTTTAGTTCCAACCCTAACTTAACAGTCCTACCTGTAATGTTCACAGCTCCTGACTTTCTTAATTAGGTGGATCAGGTCTGATAGATATCTGCAGATGGAGTAGATCTCCAGGAGCAGGGTTGGGAACCCTTGTTCTATAGCATAACTCCGAAGAACCCTTTTGGTACCTTTATTAACAAAGTCGGTGCGTCAAAGTTAACAGGCTGGGAATTCACATGTAGTGGCAGAGCTCGCGAGTTGAAGCAGTGATTAAAGCTGTTGGAGAAAACTGCCCACAGACTGACAAGATCACAAATGAGGTGAGGACATGTCAAGCCCTTTTTCGATTGGTCTGGGGTCAGTGGTAATGTTAGGCTCAACGCGAAAGACTAGGTTCAGCATGTGACCAGCTTTTAGACTTCGCTGTCAACAGAGAAACCAATAAATCTTCTCGAAGTTGGACTGTATCATCGGTGCAACGGTAACGTTTTGGAGACAGATTTGAATGTGCTTGTGTATGTAGAGATGCAGTCTCAAACTAGCTAAATACGTGATCCATCAATTACCAAAAGATCAAACAGGGAAAACTACCAAAGTCACGTGGTCACAAACATTGCAATTTACAACAATGAAACGACAAAAACAACCTCCTTTTCGATCCTCAGCCTAAACCAAGCAGGTTCTGCATGTCTTCAAAAGAATATTCAGGATCGTGATGAAAATCTGAAGAGACATGAGAAGGCCCGGGATGTGGTCCAATCCAGGTCCAGCCCTGTGGTTCATAACGGTGTCGTTATACCTTATTGTATTGCCTTGTAGCCTTAATTCAACTGAGAACTGAAAGCAACTGGTTTTAATCCAGTCCACTTCTGTAAGCCTGCATACTGTCAGTACCACTAGGTTAGTTCTTTAACTATATGAACTTATTGTTAATGCAGTGCATTATCGAGCCCAAATACTGAACACAGCATTTCTTACTGCTCAACTTGAGGCAACTTGAGAGAATAAACTGTGGATTTAATTGCACATGTTACAATTGTTATTCAGTTATTAATCTTAAAAGCAAATTCCACTCATTTTTCAAAATTACTGCATAACTAAATGGTTAAGATGTACCCGTTCAGAGCGGGCTGATGCGAAATGCTCTGTTCTAGAGTCAGCAATGTTTACTGATAGGAACCGGACATTCTGTGTCACCTCACAGGAAGCTGCTTCATGAAACGGTTATAATTCTGTGATTAAATATAGTAAATGAATGGTATTATAAACAGTACTGACCTACATCTAGAAGAAACCAGCATTACCTGCCTTCAAATGAGAATTTTCAGTACTTTCAGTGCTTTCCAAGGCAAGCTCAATAGAAAACATCTGCTAGATTGATCAGTTAGATCTGGTAACTACACGTCAGGGCTTGACGCTAGGTGGCCAACCACCATCCGGAGCTTCTGAAGATATTTCAGATTGAACTGTAATTAATTCTAGTGACGGCCGTGAGGAGTCTGGAGGCGAAAGGAATGAAGCTGCATAGGATACCTACTCTTTGTCTGACAACACTAATGTTAATACAGCTAACAGTACAAAACGAAACGAAACAAAACCGAGAGCGCAATCCAACGAACGTTTCAACTGTTGGCACGAGGAAAGGAGATAAAAGGAAAGATAGAGAAAAGAGTTTGTAAATTCAAATGTTAATTCAGGTCCTTCTTTTCTTGACCTTCCCAAACTGGCACTGTTCGAAAGGTTTTAGTTCAGCACCTTGGAACTTTACAAGATGGCGGTTTGGGTTCGCTAAATCACAGTTTGTACAAATGACAGAGTAAAGAACCACGGATACCCTGCAGGTGCTGAAACTGAACACCGGGAAATGGGACTTCACAAACAGAGGACATTTTCAAGTCCAGGAGAACTTCTATCCTACATCCCCAGAGTTGATTGACAGAAAACACATTATTCGCTTCGTAATCATTTCAATTCATTTACGTTGTTATATGACATGAATGCATACTGGTATTTAGCTTAGCGAAAGCAACAGTCTGTTGAGGCTGGGGAAGAAGACACAGTGATCGAGCAAATATTTAATGTTAATCAACAGTCTTTCTTCAACTGGGCAATGACATGATGGTCTAGAGAGAATGAATATGCACTTATGACTCGTACAGTTAGGAATTCAAATGGGAATTCATGTCAGAGTTTGAGACTTCCACACTATTACACTGCTTCAGAATTTGAATCTTTCTTTGCTACTTCATGTATATTATCTACGTAGCTCTTTTGCTACAACTATAATAACTGTGTGCAGTATGCTTCATGTTTATAGTAGCAATATTATATATAATATTAAATATCCCGAATATTTGTACAATTTTATCATACTACATATGACCTTTTGTGTAATTCGAAACTATATTAAGACGATTAAATAAATTAATGAAGTTCACAGTTTATATCAAATGAAATACAAACCCCTACATTTAAATTTGCCCTTTTATACTTGTGCAAGAGTCATTTTGTGGAAGTGACGCCAATAAAATATGGAATGGATGACTTTTTGGTCACTATTTAGTTCTCTATTTTGTTTTTTTTTAGACAGTGTTTCTTTATTTTTGAGGTATTAAAGCCTAACATCTCACTGTTTAAAAAGAGGTACACTTCTGATTTGGGCAAGAAAACGAAACAAACAAACAAACAAACAAACGAAAAAGCTACACCATTTCAACGGTGTGTGTTCAGATCAAGCATTGTTGACCTTGTATGATCTATGTGATGAGATATTCTTCATAATTCATAATATAATCATTACAATGTTTAGGATATTTATATTTCAGCCTTAAAGGAAATAATAAAAATAAGTCATTTTCTTTTTTTGTATTTCATGTACACACAAATACCGTATCTCAATGGAAGGCAAATATCGGCTTTGTAATATCGATTAAATGAGTTTTGACAAATCTTTCGACCATTTTTGCAGGTTATTCTTTTGCGTTTTAAAGGGAATGTATAGCCATGTCAATTCTGCTTACAGGTGGTTTGTAAAAGGATGATTTATCGCCATTCTAGATATTTACCACAGGAATTAGGGGAAACAAAGAAGTCTCCTTTACGTTGGCGGCTTGATTCAACGTTGCCATAGTCAAAATAAAAATTCTCTCCCATTCGCGCACACATACAGACTTCAAACCAGCAAAGCTTACATACTCACACACGTTTCCCCATCATAGGAGACACAACCTCAGCAGTGACCCACAAAGCGTACAACAACAACTGCTTTACTGGTCCTTTCCATCTTTCCATCTATCACTGTCCGTATCGCTCTCCATTTTTCCGAAACTTCTCGAGCCTCCGTGGTGTGAAGCGTTTGGCGATGGCTGTTAGTGATGGCTAGTGGTAAGTGAAGGGGGCGAGGTGGGGTTTGGTGATTGGGGGGGCTGAAGATGATTTGACGAGGTGGAGCGCCAGGGACGAAGAGATAAGGTCACAAATATTGACCTCAGGCTTTCTTAGGGGGAGGGGCCAGCTTGATGATCTCATCTTCTGATGGCTGGCGAATGATATCTAGAAAGAAAGAGAAAGTAAGAGTTAGTAAACGGTCTTTATAGAGTCAGCAGTGTAAGGACGCTGTACCTGCTCGAGATTGGGCCTAATGGAACTCGACAGCGTTCTCCTCTGTGTTTGCTGACAAGCCAGCAACAATTAAGCTCTTCCAGGTGAGGATAAAGTCATCTGTTCAGTTCTGTTTTTAACTGTTTTGCACAATAAAGATATTTTACATTTACTTAAGTTGTTAAACGTGGTTCTTATAACTGATTATATAATAGTAAATACAAAATTTGTACAGTAAATTAACAAAAATGTTTTCTTAAGCACCTAATAAATATCAACTAACATGTAAATACCATCTAGCCAAGCTGCGTGTGTTTTATGTGTGACGCAGAACATAGATTTTACCAAAATAGTTTGAAAATAATTAGATTAATTGTAATTAACTGTATAAATATGGAGACTTATACTTGAGTTAGGTTAGACAGAGTCAGTATCGATATTGGTACTTGGTATCGGACGATACTAAAGGATCAGGTACCAGTATCGGAAGGGAAAAAGTGGTATCTCTAACTGCCACAACTGACAAAGCTTATTGGTTTGCATTTGGTGAAGATGTAGCATATACAAGGAAATACTTCGGTTTCGACTAGTTAATAAACTTGTAATTCAAACGTCACAGTGATGTTCATGGAAAAGGCATTACAGACGAACCAGAGAGAGCAAAAGGCGTGATTTCAGAAAACGCCATTCATTTTTCCCCATACACAAAAAACAGCTTAGACCCAGGGCTCCTTTTGGTGATAATGGCAAAGTACAACATGGCAACACATCCTCAGAGCTCTACTGAGGGATAACTGTCCCATAAAAACTGCTTGGCTGAGTCTGAGTTAGTCTTTTTTATTATTGTTATTTTGCCACATTATATTTAAGTTGCCGTCTTTTCTAGGTAATCGCACAGCACATGCATGCAGTTATTCAGCACTGGCATTTTGTTTATGTTATGATTGACCTTTTCTTACCCAATAAGGGCGCGAGACACAGAGAGCTATGACAAGAATAAGTGGATGGATAGAATATGAACTTTAAAACCCCAGTCACGAAATGTCAAACGTCAAAACAGAACAGCAGCAGGAGCAAACGCCCATATTGGACTTCTTAGTAGCCGCTTTTCTGGAGTGACCGCAGCGTTTGTTATGGTTGTAAAGCCTCTTTCATTGCAGAACTATAAACTAGAGAGCTTGTCAGTTGCATGACTCTAATAGGAGCTTGAAATGAAGCAGAGAAGATGCAGGTACCCTTGTATTTCTTGGCAGAGGGAATGCGTGTGAGTTTGGTGTCAATCTCGTCGTCTTCCGAAATCTTCAGCACCGTTGTGCGGTACTCGATGACCCGGGTCAAAAGGTCAGGCCGTCGCGAGATCTCGAATATGTGCTCAATGTAGGAGAGGTTATCTGCACATATGGAAAATTCAGAGAAATATAGAAATACATGTATGAACTTCAATGAACATAGTTTATATAATGAAAGAACAACGACAAAAATCATGTCTCGACAAAATAAATCACAGTTATAACTGTTGTTTTGCTGCACTATTTAGATTTAATTGCATAGTAACAATTACGTAATTATTGAAGTTTCTATCCTATATTGTCAGGTATGAGTCTGAACTTCCAACTTCCTTCCATTTGTTTTAAAGAAAAACACAAAATGACAAAAACATGGTAAGAATGGTAAAAGACTTGAACTTACTCAAAACAAGATGGTACAAAAAGTACCTTTTCATAAGTCACGATAACACAAATCAAAGAAAGTGTCTCTTCCACTTACGAACACAAACGTGGCCCTGACTGACAAAATTGACTACAATCCACTTGTTTTTTAGTGAGCTACGAGTGTTAGCTAATGGGTAATGCTTAATTTGAAGGCCACCTACACAGGGTCATCATACCACATGCATATGCATTGAATAATGGATTTATAAAAGCCTTGCTAGAGTATTTATAACCCCACAGTGATTGCAATATGACATAAGGTTGCATTTTCAACTCTATTATTTGTGAATGGTGCTTCATAACAAATGGAATGTCGGTCTGTCGTTGTAGTTTAAGACCCTGTATTGTCAAAAAAATGTCTTTTACTTTATAAAACACTTGCAAATACTGGCATAAGCTGCTTGTGAATAGTCAAGTACTGCTTTTTAAATGTTATTTAATGCTTATAAACCCATGATGGAGTCCCTATGTAGACAGCCTTCAAATAAAGTGGTACATATTATTAATTAAAACGACACTATGCCTTTGTTATCTTGGCCAATATCCTAGACTTCTCAGGTTTATGAACACAAAATGGACAAAGGATGCTATGATAGATAGGATATGGATAAAAGCCAATAATAAAAATTAAGACCTTTTTTTTCCTCAAATATAATTTTCCTGGAAATATTGTACGTACAGTCTCAAAAATAAAGGCTCATATATAGTTCCTGGCTTGGATGTACGGTTCTAGGAACAACCTTTACTAGGTAGAGAGGCTCTCCTTTAAAAGGTTTGTACATCTCATTTACATAAATAATTGACAGGTTCTTCAGGAAACCACAAGTGGTTCTTCTACAGCATCACGTCAAAGAGTCCTGTTATTTCTAAGACTTTATTGAGCACTAAAGACAATTAGTTTTTTATTAATCTCTATTTAAACTCAGGTTCTATGGAACACTACTTTACTGGTGCTAGACAGTACCATTTTTATAAGGTTCTTAGAAGAATCATCCACAACAGTTTCTCCATCATAGAAAAGAACCACTGCAAACATGCAATAAACCATTTAAGCATTCAGGTGGTTCTTTGAGTTGATGTGGTTCTGTATATAACCCTTACTGAGGAACCACAACAAAGAACCCTTTTTTAAGGGTTAGAGGGTGTGCAAAAGTTTGAGCACCCTCAGCCACATATTTTGTCCTTTTTTCTAAGTGGAAATCAGTACACATCTTTCACGGGGAACAGATTTCTGTCACTTTTCTGCTAATTTAATCCACAATTGCTATTTATTTGTTTGACATACTGAAAAAAAAAAAGTACCAGAACTTCTGCATAGGCCATATTTTCTGTTTTATTTTTTGTTATATTCAACAAATAAACAGAAAGGGAGCATTAAAAGTGTGCAGAGGTGTGTTCTCTTTAGAGCAGGGGTGTCAAACTCAGCCACTAAAAGAGCCATATTAAAAAACCTCTACAAATCTGTCATTATTTGATTGTTAAATAACATTGTGCTATAACCTGAGCTGGTCATTGTTTATTAAAAAATACGCCAAAACAACATCATCAAAATAACGGCAGTTGTAGTGAACCTTGAAATATTACATAATGAACACTTGAAATATTCCAAAATAAAATAAATAAATAAATGTACGTATAGGCTGCACTACACATTATGCACATTACAATAGGCTACATTACATTACGCACATTATGCTGCAGTGCATGCTGGGGATTGTAGTGCAGCACATTGTGAAACAGGCTAATGTTAATAGAAAATGAAAATAATTTAGTGGGCCAGATAGGATTGTGCTACGGGCCTGATCTGGGTCCCGGGCCTTGCGTTTGACACATGGGCTCTAGAGGATGTGTTCGGTTATTTCACTTAGAACCTCAACAACATGTAATCTCACCAGGGGTGCCCAAACTTTGACCGTATGTGTTATGTAAGAAGAATGAAAGATCTTTCTCCCTGCAGCCAGTTCACTCACCCTGGGCTAGTTTGTCATTTTTCTCCAGGTAATTGAACCACTCTTTGGAGGAGGTGATGGAATTGCTCTGGTCCTCAGGGATGTCCTCTTTGCAGGCCGACTTCAGCTGCTCCAGATCCTCATTAGTGATGTTCTCGGACAGGTCACTCAGCAAAGAGCTGTACTCCGACATGATCTGGAAGAAACGGAAAAGAGGTTATAAATATTCATAAAAAAATGACCCTTGAATGCGTAAGTAGTCCCAAAGACACATTACAGCCATTAGGTATAATTAGAGCTAATTAAGTGCATTACGGGTCATGTTAATTCATCTTGTCAGCCGCTTCTTCTAAATTGCTTAGGATGACTCATAGCACTCTGACGCCCCCTAGCGGAGCTCATAGTGGGCACAGTTTGACAAATGAGAGCAAGCGGTGGAGAATCTGCTGCCACTGTCACATTCTGCTATTTGTCTCCATTATGTCTAATTACTCCAACACGAGTCAATTCTGCATCGGCCTCATAAGCCACAAAGAGCAATGCGCTTTTTTGTTGGCATTTGATTGATCGGTTTTGTTCTCAAGTGTGGACTCATGCAGTTTCCATTCCCCATTGCTTCTGTGAAGAAAGACAGGAAGAAACTGAAAAATGCAGAACTAATATGCGAGCTGTATATTCCAAAGGATTCCTCAGGTTACCAGCAATTACTGAAAGAGCAACAGCAGACCATCCTCTGTAACATCATGATATTGCTACACATTCCTATTGTGACACACCCTAAAATACATTGTTATAAAACTAACTCTGGTTCTGAATTCTGGTTTGCTTAGCTGCTTTTGAAGACAGTGTAAAATACTCAGTGTATGAATGTAAAATGACAATACAGTTTGAATTCTGTATTAAAATCACATTTATTTAATTGTCCACTTATTCCAGATGTAGCTGATCCTGTTGAAGAACAGGAGCTGTAAGGCTAACGTTGCTAACAAAAACTAGAATCCAATAGTCACCCAAATGGCCCAAATCATTTCTGTACATATACAGGGAGATTCACTCGAAAGAGGCCCTGAATATCCTGTTGTAACTCCCGTTAGGGGTACGGGGCTATGCACCCGGAAGTTACAAACAGAGGTTAAACGTCTCGACGGCTGTCCAGCGCCTACCTCATCGCTCAGGGGCATCCCAGCTTGTTTGAAGCTCCACATACTGAGGAGCTCATTGCGCGTTGTTTCGTTCAGATTGCTTCGTCCTAGCGAGAGTTAATACAGAATATTTGGGGCCTCTTTCGAGTGAATCGCCCTGTATATCCCCAAAACTTCTCTCAACCCACTCAAATCGCATCCAGGTCTTCATTAAGGTCGCGCAAATGTGCCGATTTGAACTATGAAAATGATGTGAACTATAAAAATGAACTTCACTGCTACAAGCAGCCATTTCAGACAACACACCAAGGGTGGTATTCACAAAGCAGGCCTGATCTTGGATCTTGGCCTGAACTAACCCTGGTCCTAACCGTCTTTGTGATGTTGTAAACATCTGTAGATAATCTATAAGGGAGGCTATTCAAAAGAAGTGTGTCTGAGCACTATTACGAAGGAATTTTATCTATATGGCTAAAAAGTGAGTATTTATTAATCATCATGTTGAATTTAGTCTTTTGACCACAAGGGGCTGCTGATTTGTCACAAACCAAATGTGAAATTGTGAATAAAAGCATGAAAATGATGTAGAAAAACAATTCAAATGGTTACTGTTAAATATTAAACGAATGAATAACTACTGGTGTTGGACCTCGTTTGCGCTCATCACACAAATACACAGTATGCAAAGGCTTGAATACCCTTAGTGTGAATACAAGTTTTGTTTATTTTCTACTCTACTGGGAACAAACTTTAATTATGGTATTTTTTTTTCTGCATATTTTAGTGCATCATTTATTTTTTAACATATTGAAAGAAAATAAAACATAAAATCTAAAATGTGACAGACCACATTTTCTATCTGTTTTCGCCCCAGTATGTCAAATTCAGCAAATAACCAGTAACTGTGCATTAAAATCCTCAGTGGTGTGTTCCCTGTAGAGGAGTTGTTGACTTATTTTCTCTTAGAAACTCTACAAAACATGCCGTTTGACCGGGGTGCCCAACATTTGCATATTACTGCACCTAATCGGAGAATATGACCAACGTACTGTTTACAAATGTAGCCCTCACTGTCTGACACCATTGTATGGTAGTGTTTATTTGTGTATCGCTGGGATATATGCCCCCTCGACCACGACAGCCTCTTTAACTGAATAACAAGCAGCCAAACAAAGGCATCCTACATGTACTACTGTTCAATTAGACACGCAAACACATGCTGGGCTCACAGCAAGAACGAGCTTTTCCTCACTGCAGTTCATCTGCTTTCGTCTGATAGTCGCAGGGCATATATAAGCAGCTCGTATAGAGGATTGAGCCGTGACTGACCTAAATACCAGACCTGCAGCTACAGCTGACTGCCAGTAGAGGGCCAGAGTGACTGGCATTCAACACTGTGAGGCTCATTTCTAAGATTAACAGATAAACCAGTCACTGGAAAATGTGCACAAACAGCAGCACGTGGCTCAGACTGAACAAATTTGTCACCAACATCACATTTATTTTTCAATATTTTGAGCCAAGTCATGGTATTTACCAGTCTCTGCTATTTTTCTTTCCATATTTACGAAAGTAATGCCTTGAATTTACCAAATTTCCACGTTTGAATATAAACTCATCACAGTTATTGCCAGAAATAAGTGAACTAAACTGAAACCAAAACTTTATTAATGTAAATCGATCAATTTGGAAATAGAAATGCATAGTTTATCACCAAATCACCAAATAGAAATGCATAGTTTATCACCAAACGGTTGAAAAATATCTATATTTTTAATAGACTTTTTTTTGTCATAATTTGGACTAAACAGCCTATATTAAATGCAGTAAGGTAAACTCTGATGTTGCCAAGTAAATTCAAATTGTTTAATGCAATAAGAACTGAAAAAAAAATCTATTTACAATCAATGTAATCAAGATATACAGTTAGGAAAACTCAGCTGCCAGTATAAAAGAACATTATAGGGCTCATATACCACATTTTTCAATATAATATTTACCTTATGCACCTGTATTTTGATTTATATGCTAAAAATCAGTCATAATTAATTTTTACATGACCATTTTTAATCTATCTTTATCCCTTAGAATCAAACAGGCTCTTTTTAATGTGCCTTAAAGAGTGATGAAGCACAACACAGGGCAGCCAAACACTCCTTATAATTTCGGAGTGAGTGGGCGGGGCTAAATTGCTACAGGCTGGACAGCTGGATATATGTGAAACCACAATATTAGTGAATTCACAATGGGCTGTTTTTGTAGCTTAGTTTCGCTCACCATGTTGCCCAATGTCCAAAAAATTAATCACCAATATATATCGTAAATATTAGATACATCACCAAGCCCTGACGATCAGGTAAATTCAATGCACTACTTCGTTCAGGACATCAACAAAGCCCTTGGTGCTCGACAGCTGACCTCTCCTCATTGCCATTCACCTGGTCAGCGTAGCTTCAGTCAAGCGCTGAAAAGGCAGGTCAAATTTCAGAGCTGTGGTAAAATGAGGCTCTTCGATGGGTCAAGCTTAAGTGCTATGTTAAATAAAAGGTGTCTGATGGGCTTCATAGAGCAGAGTGCTCCTGTAATTGGGGGTCCGCGCTCTCCAAGCACTGCTGCTCGGATTATAAACCCTCCCACTCGCACTCGTTTCCATAAATGTCACAGTTAATCTTTTGAATCGTGCAGAGGCGCAGTGCGCTCAGGCGCAGCTGAGTGGATGCTGAAAGAGCGGCATGGCTGCCCTGCCTCACACACAGGTGGAGACGCGTGTGCGTTAGGAGAGAGAACGAGACCGAGAGAACGAAACAGCCAGTTATTCTGTGAATGGAGCACTTTCTTCCTCTTTATCTGTCTTCGTCCCTTGGTGGCCATTGAAATAATAAGCAGGAAGCTCCAAGCTTTCAAGATGACAGGCTGTGATAATGACAGAAATTCACCTGCCTCGGTGCAGCTCGCCTCGTATTTCCTTCAAAACTCGCAAGTTATTAACATGACTTTGCAAAGTGACCTTGAGTCTATGAAATGCGCTGTATGGGCTATTCGTAAGACCATGAAAAATTCGGGGACCCAACTAGAAAAAATTACAGTGACAAACTTAATATTTTTTTCTTTCCTTTTTTTTTTATAGAGATACAAAGAATGATGAATAATGTCAACCAGAATGGTTGAACTGATGTTTACCCCTTAAAATCCCAGACTTATTGCATACTAAGGCCTATTATTCAGTAACTACAGGGACTTTAATGTTAACTGGCTGAGCTATTCTTATGTTATAGAGGCGTGTAATAAAACGTTGGCCATTTAAGGGGTTAAATTGATTTTTTTCCCATTGCAGTGACCACAAACATATATATAGAAAGATTTGAAGATAAAGCTGTAAATATTTTTCAGTGGAAGTTATGCATACCTTTTGCTGTACCATACAGAGCTCATATGCAGATATGGTTTGAGGTGTTTTCTTGAGAATGACCCACATAAATAAAACTCATTCAATGGGGTACGAGAAAAAAAGCAATACAACATAGTATTGCAATATTTTGGGTGAATACTACACAGAGGTCAGAGTATCGGTATTTTAGTATTTCGTATTTATGTTTTCAACGTGTATAACCCCATTAAAAGACCATGGAGATGCCATAATGCAGGCCACAAGTTGGAGCTGGAAGGTTTTATTTTCGTTCTGGAAACCATGATCAGTGGTGGTGGCACAGTGCAGTGGAAAACACCAGCATCCTACATACAGGAGCCACCTCTCTTCCCCCATCAGTCCTCCAAATGTGTTGAGCCGTCTCATGAAGAGGCATTAGTGGCAGCTTGAAAAGATGCAGCGGCACGGCGTGGGACATGGAGGAAGCGTGCCCTAGCCTTCATCCTCTAAGCCTGGTGTGACAGGGTAAGACCTGGACAGTGAGTGGGAACTGGCCAAGGCTAAACTGGGGGGAAGTGAATATAAAATAAAAAGATACATTCCTCTACTAATGTTAGTCATTCTATGTAAAAGCATCTGGTAAATATGCTAATTTATAAAACTGATAATTCCGGTCCTAAGATCTGA